TTTACAGGATGATCCTGTGCAATAGTTCTTTTAACTGTATGTTTCATATCTATTTTTAATATTGACCAATATTTCATACTACAACAATCTAATCCCCCTTTATATTTTAGAGGATCTTTAACAGCCTTCAATGTTTTCTATCATGATCCAAAGTCAGAATTAATTTCATTTCTTCCAAACATGATTAATTTAAGGCTCACTGACCCGCTTTGTTGATTTTCATTTGTCTGAATAATAAACAGGTTTCCCCCACCCAACTTTCCATCAAGCTGATGAATTTTCATCATCAAACAACTGTCTCTGTGGACTGTCACCCACCCTGAACCAAGCATGAAAATCACCTTACATGGACTTACATGCAACATGGTTTTAGGCTTTATCCTCTGCTCCCTGTGTCTGCCTGGACTGAGCTGTTTGCTCTCATTATCTGAGTGGGCGAGAGCATCAAACGGATGTGCCCGGCCATTTGATTGAGGTCAATGCCTTTTTTTGTGCTTTTTCCGTGCCTCTAGCACCCCTCTCCACCCGCCTGACCTCTGCTTGGGCTGGCTTGTGTCGGAAAGCTCCAGAGAGAGGGAAGATCGGGTCAGGGAGGCAGCATAGAGTGGATGGATAAAGAGAAGAAAAGGGGATGAGCAGGGATATAGAGTGGCTGTGACAGGTGAGCTGATGGCTTGGAGAGAGAACGGTTACAGGCTGTGATCTCTTGATGCAGCTTAAAGAGGGACAACTTATTAAAAAAAGGGATAAATGCAGGAAGCAAATGAGCTGACCTGAAACCCAAAGGTCACCCCCTTCAGCTCGCCTCCTCCTTCTCAGTGCGTCTGTGTCTGCAGGCGTCCACCCCCACACTGATTGACAGCCACTGCCGTTATCTAATAATGGTTTGGGTATTTTTCCCAGGCTCTATAAAACTCCTGCAGGCGCTGTTGCATTTGAGGGGGGAATGAGTCTTGAAATACTGAGCTCAAATAAAAGCTGATCAGATTTTACAGACTTTCATCTGTAGCATTTCTTAGATACCTTTCAGCCAATCAACTGCAGCTCAGTCAGTGCCAATATTTAGACTGAGACATTAAAAAACATTTTAAATGAGGCTCATATTTCAAAACCTGTTTTCATCTCTAATATAGGAGGGGAATACATTTTGTTAAAACATCAAAAAGACGGCTTGTAAAGTTTTACCTAAAAAAACCCCACAAAGCTGAAATTTAGTCAGTCATCCATCGTCTATGGCTGCTTGTCATTGCAGGGTCAAAGGGGGGCTGGTGCCTATCTCCAGGTGTCAGAGGAGAAGTGGGGGTACAAACTGGATATGTCATCACAGGGCAACACAGACACATATGCAGATAATTATGCACAGACCTATACCAACAGAGCGATACTAATACACCTAAAAGTTATGGTTTTTGATTATGGTAGGAAGCTGGAGTACCCTGAAAGAAACCATGCATGCATAGGGAGAATCTGCAACATTCTCACACAAAGTCTCCAGACTGCAACTTAGACTCAATACCTTTTTGCTAAGAGGCAGCAGTGTTATCAGCTGCACCACAGCGCAACTCCTGACCTCTTTCATGTTACACAAAAACCTTTCTACCCCTTTAGCCTGAGCCGGAGTAAAGACTACCCAACAAACAGACGACAGAATAAGAGAATGAAGAGTCCAGTGTTTAATCAGGTAGTCAGCAGCACAGGAACGCTACTGGGAATGGTACTCTCACTGCTCCTTTTTACTTAGTATGCTTCTGAATTCCAGTAGAGGATGGAGTGCTGCATCTGCAGAAATACACGGATGATTGCAGTTGTTGAGTGAATCAGACTTGACCAAGAACCTGGGGGAGCTGGTAGACAACTTTGTAGCATGATGTGAAAACAATCATCTGATCTTAAAGAGAACAAAACAACAGAGATGATTGTAGATTTCAGAAGGAAATGGAATAACTTAAATGGTATTAACATCATTAAAGAAGAAGCAGAGGTGGTGGAGGAGGAGTATAAATACCTTGGTGTTCACATGGACAACAGACCTAACAGACATAAGGAAGGTTAGGTTCTTCAGTGTTGACAGCAAGATGCTGCATATTAATATTATCATTGAAATGTTATAGAAATACATTTTCATAATAAATTATTTTAGTTATTTGGTTTGATTGAAGCACTTTGTTTCTGTTGTTTGTCAATTGAAGCTGTTGAACAACAGGAAGTTTAATTCCCCACATATAAAACTTCTGGTTTTACTAAACTGGGAATTTTGTAGCAATTGTTTCGCTTTTGACTCTAGAGTCACCTCGAGGTTAAAGCCACCATGTTCTCCACAAACCTTTGATGAACTGAGGAGCTTAACATAGATCTTGGACAGTGGCAACATACAATTGAATGATAATTGCATTATGTACTCTAATGGCAGCTATTACAACAATAGCGTTGGTGACCTGAAGGTAAGGGATGAGAGGGACCAAAGGCCCTCTGCACTGACCTCCGCTAAGGAAAGGGCAAGCTCATGCAACAGTCAGGGTGTCAGGGGGCTCGCCACCTCGTCTGCCGCTCCGCAGCTTCAATTCAAAGCCTGACAACAGCCTAGCGTCGCTGTGACCCTGTGGGTGTGACACTCAACCTTTGCCTTAACCTCCTGACCGCCGGTCACAGCTGCAGTGGGAAGGTCAGGGTGCAGGGTCGACCAATGGGGGGGGGGTTGATGGGTGAGAGATGAGGTGGGAGAAGATGGAGGGGCTGGGAATTGAGAAATAAGATTGGAAAATGGACAATTGAGTGACAGTAAAAGGAGATGATCGAAGGGATGAGGAGGAGAGGAAGATGAGATTTGAGACAATTGGTTCCTTTGTTTAGAGAAATTATGCGATTGCATCTTTTTTTTTTATCTTTATTTATCCATTTGTGTTTCTGCAGAGCTTCTGCTTGGCCTCTTTTATCAACAATTCATTGGCTGCTGGTTCATTTCCAAATAGTTTTTTTTTTTTTCTTTTATTTGCTTTTTAATGTCTTCATAGCCTTGCTATGTAAGAGATCTGCTTGGTGTGCACACTCCCTGTTGCTTGCTGAGGTCAGCAGATCAGCTTTTGTTAGTTATTCTGAAGACAAAACGATTACAAAGTGAGGACTGTTTTATCTGTCATCCAAAGCTATGGAACAAATGACCTTTATGGAGCAGGCAGACCGACTCACTGTCTGCTCTTAAAAACATTTTTCTTTTTTAGATGTTTCCCTATTGGCTTTACTGTTACTGTTTTATTACGTTTTTTTTTTAGCTTTTATGCAAATATCAGAATTTTGTTTTTAAGAGCTATAGAAAAAGATTGTTTTGACTACAAATGACGTTTCTGTCTGCAGAATTTAATCTGTTCTCTCTGACTCATTTAAAGGTGACCAATTTAACGTGTCATTTTAAAACTAATATCTCATTAGAGTGGCTGGTTTTCTTTCTACATAAAAAAAAATATTGCCTCTCTTTTTTCCCCCCCTTTTTTTGCTGTTTGGTTAAGTTGACCTTTTAACTGAACTGTCAAGCGTGAAAGGCAAGAACATGAGACCACTGAGGTGCAAAGGAGACAAATGTGTTGGCCGCAACATTTCGTGCTAAGATCAGCCTTTGTACGGGGCCCCACCCCTTCTTTCTCAGAGCTTTGTCTCAGTCAACACTGATCGGTTGGCCCAGCGGTGGTGCCGGGGTTTTTCTTTGGGGTCTTTTTCCTCATAGGAAAACGAACATATCTCCTGTCACCCAGTTACCGTCTGCTGGTTCAGTCTTTGATTAAACTATGCAACTGTGTGAATGCGTGACTCTTTTACGGAGCCTTATTTGTGTTTGAGCTCTGCTGTTTCATAATAATTTCAAAGGGACAACTATCCCTTGTACCTTTTTTCTAAGGCAGTATTCAAAAGAATACAATAGAGAGTGTCATTCATTTAGATTTCAGTGCGATCTTTACATCAGGTCATGACTACCCAAAGTAGACAGAATATCAGGTTACTTGTTTTTACCCACACAATAACTTTGACATCACATCTTTAAAAGTATGTCTGTATTTGATAAATTTAGGTAATTTTTGTTGTTTTTGTTTATAGATCCATCCTTTTTCTAGGTATAACGCAATTCAACAAGAAAATTAAAAACTCCTCCAGAATTTCATACTGTATGAGGGGTCAGATCCTGATCTTGGATTATGATGCCTGGCTTGGGAGTCTGCTGTAGTTCATCCCCAAATGTTTTAAGGTAAGGACTATTTGCAGAACAGTCAATTTTGTTTTATATTACATACCTTTATGGTCCTTGGTTGGTTAAGAGTGATGCTGGAGCAGGAAGCAGCCATCAGCAAACCATTTACATGAAGTTGGGAAAATGAAACTACCCAAAATGTATTTGTATGCTGCAGATTTAACAGTTTGATTGAGACCAACTCCTTAAAAATAGCCCTACATCCAATTATCATTCGCTTAGCAACTGCAAAACCCAGACTGGATTTCTAAAGAGGCCTTATTCATAACTATAGAGAACAAATCCAATAATAATAATTGAAGTTTATTGATCTCACAATGGAGAAATTTACCTGTGCATTTAAACCATCCCCCTTGCACAGAGACCCCGAGCGGCTGTGGATTTCAAACTCACAACCTCAGGATTCCAAGCTCTATTCCTCAACCACTAAGCCGCCACTCCCGCATCAAGTGAACATTTTTTTCACAATGTGTCTGACTGTTTGCCTATCATGAATTGTTATAATGCTTGGATGCAGAGGTTTGATCAACAAAATATATTCCACAACAAGAAAAAATGTCCCATTAAAATAATTAATGTAAGAAAATGGAGGAATTTACAAATGATACTGGTTGCTTTACTGAAAAATTCTTTTTTGAAATAAACCTAAATCTGTGGCCTTTTCCCAGCATTAGATATTTATAAGAAAAAAAAGACTGAATTCTGCAGACAGGTCAGGAATAATAAAATTAAAAGTCAAATAGAAGCTGTGTGATAAAAAGGATTAAATACACAAATTATTTATTATGGCAGTATGCATATGTTAGAAGCTTTCACTTGCAAAGGGCTCGAGACTAATATTAGGAGTTTTTTCTTATAGTAATATGAGATTTTGAAGAAGAAACTGTGGATTTCACCAAAAATTTGCAGTTTTGGCAAGGTGGATAGGAAATCAACATAGTGCACCACTCCACCATTTTAGTTTGCTGTCACAGTCCATAAACCTGAATCCAGTAGAAAGGTTGGGAGCTAATGAGAGTTGTTCAAAGTGTCAGAAGGAAAGTGTCAATTAGTTTGGCACCTCTGAGTTCTTAAGAATAATTATTTTCCATTAATTATTTCTTTATTTTAAAGGTCAGCCATTTGCAGTGGCGCCAGTAATTCCTGTTGCTTTAATAATATGCAGGATATAAGAAAAACTGTTAAAAATAACATGATTTATACATCAGATTTGCACATACAGCTCATGTGAAAAGCTTCCTGGATTTGACTGATTCTTCGGCTGAGCTATAATTGTCTTATAAAACAGTCTCTTCCCTCCTCCACTCCGATCCTTCCCCTGCAGCTTTGGCTGCTTCACTCTGGCTGTGTTGATTCTCCATCATGGCTGCAACCTTCTGCTCCAGCTTCCACACCTGCTCTCGATACTTCCTGCGAATCTGCCTGTAGGAACTCAAGGCTTTACTGGAAAGACAACAGACAGCATCTTGATCAGTTCACTGATATAGGTGGTTACGGCCATCAGAGCAGTGCCTGTGCTGTTGATGATTACCTGTGCGCCTGTGTAAGACGAGCAATCTGCTCTGCATTGTCCTTCCTGTCGGGGGAAGCATCAGAGAGAGCTGTGCTCAGGGGGTCATGGACCATGGCTAGCCTCCTCTTCAGAGCCTGTTCTCTGGCATATAAAGAAAACAGGAGCATATGAAGGTAACTCAGTTAACAAAGTACTTTTACAAAAGGTTATAATGTAAACATAGGGTCGTTATTTAACTGTTTATCTCTCAAGGTTGGAAGAGAAGCAGGAGGGTCTCTGAAGCAGCAAAGAGAGGAAAAGAACCCAGTTCTTTATGTTAAAGTCTGTTACCAAGCAACAGAACAAGACCAGCCATCATTGCATCCGGCCCTTTATTCTGAGAATCTCAACATTGCTCCATCAATGTTTCTTTAAACACAACACGGCAGTGGGTTGCAAAAGTCTTCATACCCCTGAGCTTTTTTATATCTTGTCAATGTGTTTTATTCTAATTTTATGTCACAGCCAAGTGGAAGAAGAGACCAGTGGAAACATACTTTCTGCATTTACAAGTGTGTTATGAATTGAATTAGTATTCAGCCCACCTTTGCTCGGATTCACCTAAATGAAATGCAGCCTATACCGAATAGAGTTTTGTTAAAGCACAAAAAGTGACACAAAGAGCAAAGAGGACAGCGGATGGATCAGGGTGGATATAAAGCTGATTGGAGTTATAAAAATAACATCTTAAGCTTAAAACATTACACTAAGCACTTTTCAGTCCATCATCTGAATACTATTATGGCACAAACCTACTAAAAACATGGCCATCTACCTAAATGAAAAGTTTGGAGAGCATTAATCAGAGAAGCAGCTCTGAAACCCAGGAGCTAAGAGATTAACATTTCAACTGTTTTGTGCAAAATTCTGGTCTTTATGGAAGAATGATGAAAAAGAGCCATAAAAAAATCCCATAGACAGTAAACAGAATCAGCAGTGAGCATGGAGAGGAAGGCGATCTGATCTTTGGCTATATGCAAAATGGTGTTTGTAGATGAATATTAAAGCTGCACATCGACCGCTATTCACCACGGAATGGGTTTCAGCAAGACGGTGATTTGAAAACGCGTCATGTTCATGTTTCCTTTTAGCTCTTTTTAGATGCTTTGTATTTGCACCATGGCTGTAACATGAGAAAAAAGTTCAGGCTTTATTAACACTATGACTCTAAATATGAATATAGTTATTTACTTGGTCTTTGAAAAGATCAGTTTATACTGAAACATTTCCAATTAACAATTAATATTCTATTGTATTCTATTGTATTCATGTAACAGAAATCCATTGTAGAAAGAGTATTTTTAGATGCATGGGCAGCTCTAGACAGGTGCCGAAAGGGGCCAGTGCCCCTGTTGAACTAGTCCTGGCGCCCTTTATTGCTCCTGTATCAAAGACATAATGTAAAGTAAATATATTATAAATAAATTATGATATATGCTGTAACAGAAAAACTGATGAGTCTCTTGGAAAGATTAAATTTTTATACCGTATTTAGTTTTATCCATCCATCCATTATCCATCGGGCTTATCCCAAGCGGGGTCGCGAGGGGTGCTGGTGCCTGCGATGGACAGGTCGCCAGTCCATTGAAGGGCAACACAGAGAAAAACAACCATTCATGCACACACACACCTAAGGAGAATTTAGAGAAGCCAAATCATGGTTTTGAACTGTGGGAGGAAGCCGGAGTACCCGGAGAGAACTCATTCTCAGAGAGAACACGCAAACTCCATGCATATTTAATTTTATTTAATTTATTATTTTAAAATTAAGTTGTTGAATGTTTAGCCTCAGTAATATTCAGATAGAATCATACTTCTCATTTGCTAGGAATTAAGGTATCAAGGTAGCAAATGGCTTTATGGTACAGATAATGCATTAAACAATGAACTTTATCCCCCCATGAAAAAACACTTCCTCCACAGGTAAATATGGTCCAGAACCACCACTGATCAGAAGTAGTTGGATTATTCTCACCTCTGTAGGACCACCTGCAGCTCTTTCAGAATGGGTCGGGTCAAAGAACTTGTGATTTCAGTGTCACAGACAGCTTTAGCTCCATCTTCAGCAAACCTCTGAAACATAAATATAATGAGCAGAAAAGAAGGTTCAAAAAGCTTTTTTCAGCATTTATTTTTTTAAATCTGTAACCACTCCATTCATGTAAAGTTTTAGTGCTGTGCTGACTGAAGCCATCAAGCTAAACAAGGAACTCTTTAGATATGGTTGATTATCAGTTCTATGATACTGAAGTAATGGATGACCAGAAGGACTATAGCTGCACAAAGACAAAGCAGTTGTGAGCGCCATGGTGATTTGGTTGGCCTAAAGGAGGTTTAGGAAGAAAGTCTTTTAGTTTAAAAACAAGAAACTGAGACCCCAGCTTTGTTTGGTTTAGGAGGGGATTTTTTAAACCAAGACTGAGGATGTTTTCCGGCAGCTGAAGGATTGGTTTAAGGAATCTGCTTAATCCTGTCTCTCTTCCCTAGGCAAAGGAGGCAAAGCCTGAGGCTGTAAGGGATAATGAAGATATAACCAAGACAGAGTTTGCTGACATAGTTAAAAGAAAGGTGTATGGTTGGGGAGAAGGATACAGAGAGTCTCTTTTCCTGACATCCAACAAGGGATGGACGCAATTAAAAAAGGTTTCAAAAACTGCATGAAAGTAGATTAAAGATATACTTTATGAATGCATTCTGCTGCAATGCAATAACAATGATAAGTAAACTAGAATCCCTTTAAAATAATTTCATTTGTCCACTTTGTTTCAATGTACCAATTCATTAATTCTTTCTCAAACCCAGTTATATAGAGAAGTTTCAGTATAAATAAAAAAGCAGGACTCAGTGCATTCTTTTTTCCCCATCTATTGACAGACAGAGGTGAGAGGTGTGGTGTGACTTCCTGCTGCAGGGACACAACGGCCAACAGAAGACCTTGAGGAACTAAAATATCTGACTTGGCCTGGAGGGATTCTGCTTTGGTAGACATGATTTCCCAGGTGGGACAGCCAGATTTGAATCGGGTCTCTCACATGAGCATGTCCCCTTGCTCCCACTTGGTCCTTTCACCTTGACTTTTTATTATTTGCTCATATTTAGAAAAAAAATGAGTTAACTTTGCTGCTGTAGGAGTGCTGGATACCTGCTCAGTCTTCCGATCTTCTGCCTCTCCTTTGAGGATTTCTGGGATGAAAACTCCTGCTGCTTCCTGGGACTTTAGTCCCATTAAACTCCATTCGAGGCATCTCAGCTCCTTCTCCTTCAGGCGGATTAAAGATCGAAGATCTGACATCTCCTCCTGAACGAAGGCAGTCAAACAATTATACATTTAGAACAAGAAAATAAAATGGTATTGTAGTTTGTTCTAAAATACAACATTAGAAATGTATGTAGTCAAAGGGAGACAAAATGTAACGCTTGGGTTGGTTATTAATAAATAGTAAGGTAAAAATTAGTTATTGTCATTTTAGATATGATATAGATATGTATTAAGAGACACTGGCTGCTCACAGATCCATCCGAAAATGTTAGTGCTTTAATTGGCTGAGAATGATTAATGTATTTGTAAACCAGAAAAAAAAATTAAATATATAATTCCTATAGTATTTTTTTATTTGGTAAATTGGTGATATAGCATGTATTAAGTTCTAAAAATGTTTTTTTTTTGTTGCATAAAAAGCAAAACTGCTGGCTAGAGAAGCATTTAGTCCACTGAGACTGAGTGTAAACCAATATAAAAATGATTTAAAATAACTTTTCTTCATCAGGTCTTTATATGTTTATTTTCTTCCTCTTCCTAATTTGTTAATTTACAGATTAGGAATTAAATATTGAAAAGAATAGATTGTTACTTGTAAACCTATGGCTTTAATGTTTTTGTTTAAATTGCAATTTAAATTGCATTCTTTAGTTTTGTAGTTTATTCTATGTTTTTGATATTTAGGTACATTTCCTATTGTTCTTAGTTATCTATTTATTACCTCTTATTTGCACAGACTCCCCCCTCTGCGCTGTCACAAATAGAAGACATTCTAGTCAATGCAGTAATTCCCACTGGCTCTGCGACACCACGTCTTGACAAACAACCCCCTCCATTGTCTGTCAGAAATATGAAATGGTGCCTATTTTGATAGATCAGTTTCTGCAAACCTGATGAGCCACACAAGAAGTCAGACGTGGGAAGAGTAAAGTTGATCTGGTACATTTGAAGATAAAAAGCAATGCATGGTGGGGCGGAGATGGAACCTGGTCTCTGTGAAGCTGCTCAGCCACTTTGCAGTCAAGTTAACTCAGGCCAGCGGCTACTGGTTCATTAGTCCTATGCTCTCCACCTGTTTTCCTCAATTACTATTGTTAACACCTTCCATTTCACCATTATCCCTAAAAGAAAACACTATTTGCTTAAGCCCTGCTACTCCGCTGTTAATCATTCTCCAGTCTTTGATCATGCCTGTGGGTTTTTGTCCAGATCATCTTTTTCAGATCACTATTTTCTAAAGTCTTTAAAAGAGGCATGAGTTAAATGCTATTTTTTTTTATATATATATTTTGCTTGAGTTTAGATATTGTGTCATAAACACATTTAGGATTTTTCTTTTGCAGTTTGGAAAGTTAGAGGAATTGGTTTAATTTCTATTGTACTCAGCAGCCAGGCTGCCAAAGGTTACCAGCACAGGCTAATCAAAGTATATTGTACACAGAACTTTAAAGGAACTATTTACAAAAAGAAGATGAACAAGTCTGTTTGTTTCAGGTTTTAATGAAATGCTGACTGTTAGAAGAGCCAAAATGTGTAATTTTAGAAGCTTGACTATATTTATAGGTCTCTTCTGTTAGGTATTTCTTCATTTAAAATTTGTTGAAGGGAGGTGGAGTGGTGCAGGGGTTAAGCATGTGACCCATGTATGGAGGACTTAGTCCTGCGGCTGTCATGGGTTTAAGTCCCGGCCCATTGACCTTTGCTGCATGTCTTCCTCCCTCTCTCTAAATCCCATTTCCTGTCTACCTACTTTCAAAAATGAGAAAAATAAAGTCTACTAACGCCTAAAGAAATAGCATTAAAACAACATTGTGGAACTGGATAAACATAATGTGTTTGCTTAGCCTTAAAAGTTAAAGCACAAACATTGGAATAGCACTGCTAAAATTTAGTTGAGCATTAGTTTGTTGAAACTTTGCAGCAGTTATTAGCCATATAAGTCTATAGATCTAATTCAGCGTAGTCTGTCTTCGCTAAATTAGATTCAGATGCTCAGTCATGCTAATATAGTTTTACCTGCAAACTTCACTGTGTTTTGAACACAGCGGGCATGCTTTTTTTCCAATAGGCTTGCTCTCAGAGAAATTATTTTTGACCATAAAAATCAGTCTGTTCTTTTATATAAATGATTTAAAATCATTTTGTCACAAAAATACAGTGGATTTGACATTTAAAGCAGAGGTTGTATCTTTTTGTCAGCAAAATAGATTTATCTCTTCATCTAATTCAACTTCACTTTTGAAAAAAAAGAAAAACAAAATAAAATCACATTTGTTTGGATAAAAACTAAAACTAACACAGCTCATACCCGGACTGAGATCAGTTCATAAAACATCGAAGCTTTCTCCCTCTTGCTCTCAGAAGGATTGGTGTTATCCTTCATCGCATAGCCCCATCTGGTCCCGGCTGCTTGACCCGGTTCTGAGCTTAGTTTGACCTCCCCTCCTGGACCTGGTTTCGGTAGACAAATGGCTGCTCGCTCCCTCTTCAGTCGCTCGATTTGTTGTCGGAGAGCTGCTACCCGCTCTGTTGGTTCTTGAGTTCTATGGCATCAACAAATCGGACCTTTGTTAATGAATTTCTTCCCCCATATTTCAGCCTCCTTAAAGACTTCACCTCTGCCTCAGGTGACTCTTTGTCTCCTCTGTGACTCGAGCTGAGGAAAAGGAGGTGGATAACTCCTCAGTTCCCATCTCCTGGCTCTGAACTGATGGATCATCCATCTGCCGTGTTTCACAACCTGGTTCTGCTTAGAGGAAACAATATGGTTCAGACTGTTCAGTGACTGAACAAGATGCAGACCTGTTTTTAATACAACCCTCAAAGATCACCTGCTGGATGTATCTGCAGGGGGAGGATTTGATGCACCTTTGCTTCGTAAAGAAACAACAGCTCAGCGTAGGCCTCCTCACACTCCTCACTGTCAGTCAATTAAAAGCAAACACAACTATGTTTGATGACCTGCTGAATAATGTCTGATCAGGTCAGCCTCACTCATTTAAACATATCTGTAATGCTAGTCAGGGTCTTTGTACAACGTAATATGTGAGGTGTGGGTATTGAATATCAGCTGGGTAAACAGAATTGAATTAAATACCAGTATCTGAGCGCCAGCTGCAGTGCGGAGCAGTGAGATTCTAATCTGCTCAGTTTCAAGTTGATCTGCTCTGAATCCACCTTCCTTCGCTCCAGAGCCGCAGTCAGACGTTCGTTTCTGGCCTTCAGTCTCTCAATGCATCTGGGACAACAGAAATGAGGATGGGCAAAGTTAAAAGCTTTCAGTTATGATATATCTGCATATGTCTACAACCTCGAGGTCAGCCAAGTTTGGTTATTTTTTTACTATAGTATCAGTTACAAGTCAAAATGGGCTCATATTAACAACTAATATTTTTTTTTGCAATTTTTGATGCCATCTGTGTGTATTTTTGGATGTGAGGGGCTTTGACTTGTAAATTTTTTTGTGGCATGTGGAAGGGATGCAGTTTCAGACTGTAGGGTGTTCAACTGAAATAGAGAAGCAATGTCAGTTTCATCAGCAAAAGAAAAGGACAGGCACATAGATGTAACACTTATAATATTTCTTATTGGTGATAAAAGCAATGTCAATATTGTATATCATTATTACGATTTTGATGTATCTTTTGATGAATCCGTATTTCTTAACATACAAATATAACCCCAACAGAGGCACAGTAAGGAGGTGCTAAATCTAAACTTTCACAACTTCTTAAGGATATAGATTTATACTTCTAGATTGATGTGTGGCTTTGGCAAAGTGAACCTTCCACAGTTCTCAGTTTCATTTCAACTGTGAAAAATGTAGATGCTCCTACACAATATAATATACACATTTCATATGTGGAAGGTTGAAATTGAATCACATAGTAACAAGTTTGCATATGCAGTCGATAAATGCTGAAAATTATTCCCATATTTTAACCTGTTAATCCACAATATAATTTCTGCGTTTTAAATATGTGACAAATCACTTTACCAATGGAAGTAATATGCTGAAAACTTTATATTTTTTAAGGGGGACTGACTTGTAGGAAAGTGCTTAAATGATCAACATGCAAACTCCCTTGTTGGTTTCTGGTAATCCTGAGCTCAGACTCACCTGTTCAGTCGCTCGGTCTCTGACTCCAGGCTGATGGGGCTGGGACAGGGACTGCTAGAGGTGACAGAGCCCAGAGAAGACACATCCCCGCTGAGAGACAGAGGTGTTGTCGCCCTGGATGTTCTTCTGTGCAGTAAAGGGGAACCAGGGTAGGAAGGAGGTGGTCTGTCTGGACTTCGAAGCCCTGAAGGAGGCCGGTATGAAGGAGAATATCTGTCAGACTTCCAGGACTTGTGGAGACCAGCCAACTGGAGCAAAATAAACAAAACACTTGCATTAACTAATGCTCTATCATCATTTGTTCCTGAACTAATCAAAACTGCAGAGTTCTGACAGAAAATATTATATGTTGAATTCCAAAACACTTTTCCCACCTTGTTTTTCTCCTCTTCCTGTGAGTAAAACTTTCTTATAGCCCTCTGCTGCTCCTCACTGTTATTCTGACTGTCGTTTTTAGGAACAGAATCCTGTTTTTCTAGATCTAGCAAGTCTTCCAAGTTCTGGTCCTTTGGTATTTCCAAAGAACAAGAAATCCCAAATTCTCTCTCCATTTCCTCCAGCATCTGCAACCAAACTGTTCTTAATTTTCCATCAGTGTTAACATTTATTGTATTTGACAAAATGTGTTTGACTAGGTGCAGTTCATCACCTGGGTGGCTTTAGTCCAGTTCTCCTGAGCAGCTCTTAGGTGCTCTGTGTCCCTGTTCTGGTCAGAGGCAGTGATTGGAGCTGCCCAGGTCCTTCTGAAGCTGATTGAGTCCTCTACAGAAGACAAAACCTCCTGCAGCTGTGTCCAGACGACAACACTGCCCCCTGGTGGGTAAAAAGTAGAAATGGATAATAGAAAAAATTCATTTCAACCATGGAGTCCAGAGAAATAGCTGAACCTTTAACTCGACCACATGGCTTCCACACATTTGAACAGAAGATGTTGTAGGAAAGTTATATCTATAAATACAATAAGGAAAACAAAATTAATAGTTTCATAATTTCTATTGAATACCTTGGTTCAGCTTTGGCCTTACAGTGTCTTCATGCTGCATGCTTTGTAACAAAAAATACCTTCATCCACAAAGGCAAGAAGAGGCAACTATTGGAAGTCTTCCTTTCTCGATTCACAACTGAGCTGTGGATTTCTGCAAGCCCTTGAGAGTAACTTTTTTATCTGTCCTGGCTGCTTCATCTCAGCATCAAATGCTATAAGACTGGATGACCAAATGTTTTGGGTTATCCACTGACATTTTATTAGCCCAGATGAGGCTGTCTAGCAGTTTTGGCTCCTGAATTGATGAATGAGCTGCTGCTGCAAGCCAGAAGGACACCCCATCTGTTTAAAAACGCACCTTTTTCTCCTTGGCTTTTATCAGCGTGAGTCATCTGTGTCTTAATCTCTTAGCCTTCTGAGTATCTGTACTTTTTACTCATTTCTGTTATAGCTCTTTTCTTCTTATTCTTCCTTTTTTTGTTCAGTACTTAAGTCAGCTATTAAGTTGTTCTAAATGTGTTTGATAAATAAAGTGGGTATAGTCTGTTACTGTAGTTTAGGTTTGCATTTGCAGCAAGTGCTCTCAATTTGTGCTCTGTTAGATGTTTAAAGCTTGCAGTAATGTTTTCTCACCTAATGCCGGCTCACTAACAAACCTTCATGGAGGAGTTTTTTCATACTGAAATTGCATTGCAAACAGTTATTGGGCCTATTAATTGTTTACACTTTAAGTTTTTTTTCCCATTGATATCAAAATGAGGAGTAGCTGAATAAACCTGGGCTTCACAGTTATGCGCTGGACAGTAATGTTATCTTATAGTGGGTTTGGATCCTATCCTGACTCTTTCTAGATGAAGTCATGCATGGCTTCTCTCCAGGTACTCCAGTTTCCTCCTAAGGCTGTTAGGTTAATTGGTCTACTAAGTTAGGCTTGATTATGAGCGTGTGTAGGCAGGGTTTTTTATTAGTTGTGTTTTTTTGTGATTCTGTGATGTCCTGGGAGGCTGATCATAGATGTTCCTTTTTTTCTATTCAGTGAAAAGGTGTGGCTATGTCTCGCAATGTTTTTTCCTCCCTTATCTAAAGTTTGTTCAGGGTTTAAATCAAAATGAAACACCTCTTTGGATGATGAAGGTTACTTAACTCTCTTCAAGTTGAACAGTTCTCATATATCACATATTATTAATATTAGATTTGAATGCATTCTGCTCACAAGGGTAGATGGCTTTGTTTCTCACATTTGTGTCTAATGCAGTATAAACAATATCACTCATGCCCACCTTGGTCAGTTGCTGGATGTCTAGACATGACGGCAGAAGCGGAGGTGCGATCCGGGCTGCCTCTGAGCAGCTGGTGAGACAAAAGATCTGGAGGAACCAGAGGTCTGGAAGGACGTGGTGATCTCATGTCTCCTGGTTCACTGAAAGAGTGAACCCTTCACAAAGGTCATATACTGAATTGTACATTATCTTTCAATTACTGTTCCATAAAACACATTATATATATACAAAAAAACTTCTCTTACCTTGGAGCCTTAAGAGACCCCATCTTTTTGTTCAGTTCAGCAATGATGTTAAGGAGGGTGCCCACTTCTGCTTCACACTGAGCCACCTCTGCTGGGGTGGGCTCATGGCCAATCAGAGGCTCAGAGACTTCAGGGTCAAAGCTTACAAAGGCGCCATGGTTCAACACCGACTTGTCAAAGAAGGAGCCGGTATCAAGGCTGTTACATCTGCTTCTTCTCGAATCCTGCAGTATCACAGATAGAAAATCTCAAATACTGCCATAGTGTTTTAAGTGTTTATCCTTTAAATATTAATTAACTTCTCCCATAGTTAAAGCAGTAAGCTACTGGGGCTGAATGTAAAAGATTATTGCATATTTTGAATTTAAATTCTGTTATGAACCTGACATCAGACTGTTTAGCTATTGTTCAAAACGGAAAAGGAGGAAACCAAAAACATCCTGAGATCCAACTTCCTGCCCAGCAAATATTTGTAGATTCCACCATCCATTGTTTTCACAAATGATTTTATAGGAACACCCTTAATATAGCTCTTCATTTTTTAACAGAATGTACTGAATTTTGCTTTTAAAGTACAATTAAAAAATAAAAAATAAATGCACATGGCTTAAATTCTTTTTTATTGTTATGCAGGGCAGTGAAGACAAAATGCTTAAAATTCCTGATTCTTGACTTTCAAGAATTCCTCATCAATGTCAGAGGCTGTGACAGCATCTAATGGATGTTTTATTTAGTGGTGTAGTTCTCTAGCTATATTTACATAAACTTGTCAGTTCCACAACAGTTATTTCTCAAGATTCCTGCTAAGAATTTACATTTTATTGTTAATATACAGAAGGTTATAAGTAATACTGATAACCTCATTGAGTGATCGTAACTCTACGTAGAACAATGAAAAAAATGATCAAGCATGTATTTTGTTTACATTACGTATTGACAGTTATACATAAAACATTGAAAACCAAACAAACATTTCACCATAACTTACCTCCATGCTTCTTGTTTTTATGGCTGCAGTTTATAACAGACCAAAAACATTTGACATTTGATATTTTCTTTAGTCCATTTTTGTGCTGTAATGGCCCAGAGGCTCAGTCCCTGAGTGAAGGCAGTAGGTTGCTCTCTTGCTGCATGTCTGTCCAGCACTGTGATGAATGAAGTCAGTGAAAACACTCAGAGAGACATCCACACCCATTCCCCTTCACTTTGTGTCCTTTCCTGTTTTGGCCACAGTTAGTTTCCATGTTCACAGCGGCCAGCAGAGTCAGCTCGTGTTTGGGTATTTAAAATGCATAAAGCTAAAGATTAAGGTTAACAATTTGGAGCCTCAGGTTGCAGACCGCTGCCTGGGGTTAGATGGTTTTTATTCTCTACAAAAAATCTTTATATCTTCATATCCCTGTTGTAGGATATGAACATTTCATGTCATGGTTATTGTGACTGTGACGAATCCACCTCGTCGCTTAAAACATCCTCTAACTTTGCGCGCCACACACACATTCCTGTTATACTGTGTTTGTGAGGACCAATACACTCGCGCTGAGACCAGCAGCTCCATTAACTTAAAACACACAAGCTGTTCCTGGTTACCTGCTGGCGTATTGAGGGTGCACACTTAATATTTCAGTGGGGTTAGCCGTGTGTGTGTGTGTGTGGGTGTGTGTGGGTGTGTACATGTTTATGCTATGGGGACTTGTCATCTTCAGTCTGGCTGCGTCTTTGCTGGGTTCAAACCCAGTTTGGTGTAATTGAATAAGTCAATGAATCTGTGTAAAAGAATTAAGTTGTAAAAATTATTTGTTTTTGTACATCAATTGTTTGTGGAGGTAATATATGGACAAAACTGATTTATGAGAAGAAATCAGAAATAAGAGAGCCTGAGGTGAGGGGCTTAAACTATTTAATGAGGGCTGTGGGAAGAAAAGCGGCAATTTTTGTTGTCTGTTTCTTTGTTACATTGCTGGTAACTGGAGGGAGGCTGAGGCCCAGAGGATCTTGTATATGTTTAGTTTCTTTTGCACCCTGTTTTGAGTTTTTGAGCTCAATAAATCACCAACACCGGTAACCCGACTGAGCCTGGGTTCTTGGAGGCCAAAGAACCCCGTCACAGTGATCCAAATCATCACTGTTACTGTTATTATATAGTAAATTAAATCATTACTGTTAAATTGTATGTATTGTCCAATTGTTTATTTGAATTCTTATTCCGGATTAGTTGGAGACATACACTAGGCTATATCAGCCCCACCAAAAATATTTTTCACCAGCCGCCACTGCTTCATACAGGATACAAATACACTCTCCCCTCCACTGCTCAATTATATGCTAAACTATGTTTCTCTTTTAAAACATGCACCGAAGGGTGTGGTTTTTAGTGTAGCAAAATGTGACCTAGTTCAAAAGGTGTAGATTCTTCAAGCCTTTTTAAGTTAGACTGTTTGAGAAGGTTTAAGGTAGAATAAATATTTACTGAGGTTCAGTCTTCAAGCCCGTCAAAGGGTTACAAATGACCATAACTGTTAAAATGAAGACCATTATGGAACCTGTCATTGCCCCTCAATAAAGGAGATTTATATTTTCAAACCTGTTGCCAGGGTGATTTACAGCACACACTGTTTGGCTCTGATAAAGATGTATCAGACATTTTTTTATTTGAATTTTTAGCAATTTATGGTTCAGCACTTTTACAGTTTTTTGAAAGTTTGATTAAGATCATAGGTGCATAAGTACAAGAACCTGCTTCTCCCCTTTCTTAGTGGAACCCTGATTGTTGATCCGGCATTCTGGATCAGCTGGCTGATCCACTTCACAAGCTGACCTGTGAAGACATCGCTGCAGTAATCAATTCTACAAAAGATGAATGAAGAAGGAATTAGTTTATCAGGGTGCTGTTGAGTCCTCTAGTCCTACACAAGTGATATAATGTCTTTATGAGCCACCGAAGGTTCGGGTCTGAGTCATCATTACACCCTGATTGGTGGTTTCTAGTTATCTGTACTGACCTGTGTGCTAACTTTTAAAGGATCTTCCTTTGTTTGAAAACTATTATTTCAGTTTTGTTTTGATTTAGCTGAAGATAATTTTGTTTCATCCATGCATTGATTTCTTCTATGCATTTACCCAAAGCTGGAATGTGTTCATTGTCACCTACAGAAATAGTAATGTACAGCTGTGGGTTGTATAGTTATGGTTATGGCATAGTTATGGGTACTGATGTTTATTATGGTCTGATCTAGGGGGAACATGTAGCTACTGAATAGGAGGAGCTCTAAGATAGACCCTTGTGGAAGGCCACATGTGATTTCTGTGGTCTGTAATGTAAACTTACCTACGGACACAAAAAAGGTCCTGTACTTCAAGTACGATTTAAACCAGTCCAGGGCTCCAGTCTTTCAAAGCACTCTAATCAAATGAAATGATCAACAGCGTTTAAAAATAGATCCACTTAGTCTCGTTGATCTGAGACCCCCAACTCTATTCAGTTCAAAAGAAAATCCTTCAATACTTCAGATTTCGTTCTTGGCCACGTCATCTATGGCTCCAATGTTTCCAACAACAGCATTTTTTCTAACCATTCTGATATATTTATTTGCCAAGATCTTCCAGTGAGTCATCTTTAATCTTTTGGTTTTGCCCCTAAAACATGTCATTAACTATCAGTTTTTTGTTCGATGGCTGAGTCGTTGAGCCGTCTGTTGCTTTGTGGGATCACAGTCTTAGACTTAGACAGATTTTATTTGTCATTTTGTTTACACAAGTGTAAAACAAAAATAAATTTCGTTTGGAAACAGCTCACTGGACAATTTCATCTTTTAAAAGTGCAGCCTTGAAAAATAGTAAGAAGGACTGTAATTTTACAGTTCTAACAGTTTTTTTAATATATATATATATTTAAATATAAAACTGTTTTCTCACCCCTCGTGGGGTGGTATGTGTCATATATATATATATATATATATACAGTATATATATATATAAACATAAAGATAAAACATAATAAATATAATAATAAAATACAATACAATAACCCATCTCTACAAAACATTTAGCAGTCCAATAGTGGGGAAGAAACTGTTGTGTCAGTCAGAGCTGAATAATCATTGTGTCCCATATTAACCGACAAATTCTGTTGTAAATCCTCAGATAAAATCACATCCAGTGATCTATTATTGTTGTAACTCAGATTGACCGCCACTTTCCATTCTAGTAGATGGATTTTAATTTCCAGAAAACCCATTTTATGTCAAACAAGAAGAACGTCTTAAGACTTCATTACCCATAATGCTGCGAAGACCGGAAGTTCCGGCTGTACCATTTCCGCAAAAGAAGTTGCCAAATCAAAACAAACGTTAGCTTGTTCTATGAATATATAGCACCATAAATGACTCTTTCTCTTTAATAAATCAGAGAAGTTTCGTACTTATTCATAACGTAAGTATTCTGTTATTATTTTCTATCATTTTCTTAATACCGATTTGGTTGTTTTTGTGTAAGAGCTAACTGATGCTAACAGCTAAACCTGTTATCATGTCAGATTCATACTGTTCAAGCTGCCTTTTAGGTAAAAACAGATTTTTAACACCTAGAACCACTGTGGGTATTTTAGGATAAAGCTGGTTACAGGTTCACTCAAGAAAAACAACTGCAGGTGTAGTTAAACCTCTGTCTGCATTGAGGAAATTGTGCTGTGAATGGCTAATAAAAGCTATATTTCCACATATTAGATTTTATATTTAAAGGAAAAGGCTTGCACATCTCGAAAAATTGAAGTTTTATTGTAAAGGATGTTTATTTCTGTATTTCCATTCAGATATTTAAATCTACATATGATTAGGATACATTTATCCCAAAGTGAAGTTTTAACTGTTTATTTCTGTCAGTTTTGACTACGAGGATCTCAGCTAATCCCCAATTTCTTCAATCCTATGAGGAGGAAAAAAAAACGAATTTTTGATACAGATATGTTAAATTATCTCCCATAAGAGGACATCTGATCTGATGGCTTTCCAAAAAATTGCCATTACCAACTATCAACTATTATAGTGTACATAAAATGGTCATTGTTAAATATCCTGGTCGTTAACTGTGTAATGTGTCCAAGGATTTTAGCTGAGTAAAAAGCGTGAAGTAAAACAGCTGATTTCATCTTACATTTTCTCATAAACCTTCAAAATTAATTCCTCTTAAAATCGCCTCAACTCCACCTGTTTGTTTATAAATCTTAGAAGGATTTGGTGTTAATCGGCTGAGCTGAAGAAAAGAGATCCAAATGTTTCATGCACTTTTTGCACGTGTTCCAAGGTGAATGGAAAAAGACAGATCTGGTGTGGTGAAGACTCCAGTCACACTTGAAATTGGGAGGAAATGTTTTCCAAGAATTTCTTTTCCCTGTATTTCTGGAGTCATTACCATTTAAAATATAGCTGTGCATGACAACAAAAGGTGTTATATTGACACTAGACATGGATCACTAGACATCTTTAATGTCTTTCCATAGAATTTATTTCAAATTCATTAGTAGAGGATGTATTTAATGTTGTCATTATGCTGTTGGCTCAACAAGTTAATAAAATGTACTGTAATTACTTCATCTCTTCCTCAGCCCAAAATGCCAGCTTGCCCATATACAAGTCATTGTGGGCTGAGACTACCTTGATTGACAAGTCAGAGGTGTAACACAGCAAGGCTAACTTCAACATCCTTTGGTGCATGTATTCTTTCATAACATACATGACAATGTCAATTAGCCCCCTATTCCGGCCTTGAGTTTTATCCTAAAAATAGTTAAGGCTATCAAAACAGCAGAGATAATAGCACCTGGGTCCTGTGAGGTAGTGTAAAGTGATTAATAAAAAAGATTAATAGAATTACAGAGGATAACTACAGCCAAGGGTAAATCATTGTGATAAAGACCTCTGTAGGAGTTGGTGCTCAAACATCAGTTGAAAGCATATAACAACCCTGCAGCTCCTGCATTCATTATTTTAGGATCACTAAGCCAGAAAATATTTTTTTAGCTGATTGTCCACTTTTACAAAGTGGTCAACTTTTCAGATAAAAAAAAAAAAATCATTTGGAAATTAAGACCTCATGATGTAGAGGTCTTGGTAATAGTTTTCTGTGTTTTTTCTAGTCCATAGCCAGCTCCGTCTACCAGGAAGATTTAAAGCACCCCCTGCTCTATGGAGAAATAATTTTTTTGTTCCAGCAAGACTTGACACCTGCCCACACTGCTAAATCTACCAATGCCCGGTGGATGACTATAGTGGTGGTGTGCTTGATCCTTTACACCTAGGGTAGTGGCGGTCTAGAGGTTAGGGCATAGAGCTTGGAGCCTCTGAGGTTCTGATTTCAAGCCCCACTCCCACAGACTACCCCTCTGGGTCCCTGAGCAAGACCCTTAACCTCACTCTGCTCCTGGGGTGCCACACAATGCCAACCCATTGCTCCCTAAGGGGATGGGTCAAATGCAGAGGTAAATTTCTCCAATGTGAGATCAATAAACTTTAATTATTATTATCATTATTATTATTACCTGAACCACAGGTGGATGGGCATCAGGTTTAGGTTTAGATTTTTGAATAAACGAAGGACAAAACAGTGTAATCAATGCAAATTTATCATAAACACATTATCATTCATGATATATATATTTGTTATATGGATAATTTATTTCTTATATAGGAAAAGGTTTATGAAGAATTTACCAAAAATCATCAAAACTAAAAATTAAATATTAAAAAAATTAAATATTAATAAATCTGACCTGTTTAATAACATTTCTTGGATAATTATGCTCTTCTGTCATATTTTAATAACAAGAAAATATAAAAAAAATATACTGTTCTTATCTTTACTTACTCATCGTACAGCCTGTACTATCCATGGAGACTCCAGAGCCAGGCCCAGCTGATGGAGAGGAGCGTCCAGTAGAGTTGCGACCCCGCACACGCTCCAACCCTGAAGGTGCTGAGGACCGTCGCAGCAGCACAGGTAGCCTTGGAGGCAACGGAAACCAGAACATATCTCAGCCTGCTGTGGGGAATCGTGTGGAAGGTGAAGGTGAAGCCTCGACCAGCGACAACCCTCCAAGCTCCGTCACCACAACAGTTTCAGCAACTACATCTCAGGCTGTAGTTCCACCTCCAGCTGTTACTGCTGCTGCTGGAGCTGGAGCTGGAGCCAGCAACACCGTACAACTGTCCACTGCTGCTGTCACAGCCAAAGAAAGGCCAAAGACCTCACAGCCCATGCTTAGTACATCTATTTCTCCACCAGCAGAGTACCAGCTCAGAGTTCCCAGGGTTAACTGTCCAGAGAAAGTGGTAGGTCCACATGACTTAGAAATACTGTTCTTATTAATGAAGTAAGAAACAAATAGACTCTCTCTGGGGTTAGGGGTTAGGTGTCTATTGAAAATTTAGTGTTTTGTACCTGGATTTACCATTGTTGTTATGAAACTATAGCATAATTTTACAGAGATTCCCAGCTTAAACTGTACAGATAATACACAGACAAAACATTTTTTTATAGAAAATATAAAACACCCTTTGAAGGCATCTTTAGAATATTTAATACAACTATAAATGGATACGTCATATAAGCTTAATACCAAACTCTAAATTTTGTCCACCAGGGGCACTTGACCTGTAACTAAGGTCCCCTTAGGCACAAGCAGTTTCCCTACGTGTTTGGGAATCAGGCCACATTAGACCAGCAAATTGAGAAATTGGAGTTACTTGTAAAGAAAAGACCACATTCAACCATCAGTGAACCAAGTACACTCACCGGCCACTTTATTAGGTATGCCATGCTAGTAACGGGTTGGACCCCCTTTTGCCTTCAGAACTGCCTCAATTCTTCGTGGCATAGATTCAACAAGGTGCTGGAAGCATTCCTCAGGGAGTTTGGTCCATATTGACATGATGGCATCACACAGTTGCTGCAGATTTGTCGGCTGCACATCCATGATGCGAATCACCGTTCCACCACATCCCAAAGATGCTCTATTGGATTGAGATCTGGTGACTGTGGAGGCCATTTGAGTACAGTGAACTCATTGTCATGTTCAAGAAACCAGTCTGAGATGATTCCAGCTTTATGACATGGCGCATTATCCTGCTGAAAGTAGCCATCACAAGTTGGGTACATTGTGGTCATAAAAGGATGGACATGGTCAGCAACAATACTCAGGTAGGCTGTGGCGTTGCAACGATGCTCAATTGGTACCAAGGAGCCCAAAGAGTGCCAAGAAAATATTCCCCACACCATGACACCACCACCACCAGCCTGAACCGTTGATACAAGGCAGGATGGATCCATGCTTTCATGTTGTAGACGCCAAATTCTGACCCTACCATCCGAATGTCGCAGCAGAAATCGAGACTCATCAGACCAGGCAACGTTTTTCTAATCTTCTATTGTCCAATTTTGATGAGCTTGTGCAAATTGTAGCCTCAGTTTCCCGTTCTTAGCTGAAAGGAGTGGCACCCGGTGTGGTATTCTGCTGCTGTAGCCCATCTGCCTCAAAGTTCGACGTACTGTGCGTTCAGAGATGCTCTTCTGCCCACCTTGGTTGTAACGGGTGGTTATTTGAGTCACTGTTGCCCTTCTATCAGCTTGAACTGCAGGAGATTGTCTTGACCATGTCTACATGCCTAAATGCACTGAGTTGCCGCCATGTGATTGGCTGCTTAGAAATTAAGTGTTAACGAGCAGTTGGACAGGTGTACCTAATTAAGTGGCCGGTGAGTGTATATGATCAGTTAAGGTTCATATCTCTTTTGTAGCCTATCAACAAATTTTAGCTTAGCTAACTCTTGTGTTTAAAGGGAACTCAGACTGCCATAAAGCAGCGTTCTGGGTCTTTGCTCATTCAGTCACGGATCTGACCCACTCAAGTTATATAGTTGAGTTTTTGAGAGTGCCAGCCCACAGGGCTGAAAAATTATTTGATACATCTCAAATTTAGCTAAAATTTGAATCAAAGGTTACGCTATGTTGCTTTAAGCTAAGCTCAATTGTAGAAAATCATCTGCAGTGGCCTTTAAAAGGATCAGGACACCAGGAGTCTGAAACCTGTAGCTCCAGAGTCCAATGAGGCTCCTTAGACCCTTCACTGTGTCTCCTAATAACTGAAGTGTGCAATGTTTTAAAATGTAAAGCTAGTCAAAAGTGCTACAAAAATACGAGGTTATTTTTCAGACAGCTTAATTTTCTTGCAAAGTTCAAAAGAAAATGGTTCCCATTTGAAAGCTGCTAATTTATACAAGAATTTCAGGAAGAGAAAAACACCAAGGTTCATAGGAGGTTTCATTTAAGGTGTTATTTAAAATATATTGACAAGAGTAGATATTTTTTCTAGTCTTTTCACCCTCTTACCTTGCTTCCCTCTACAGATAATCTGCTTGGATCTTTCTGAAGAAATGTCCTTACCAAAGCTTGAATCTTTTAACGGGTGTGTAACAACGCAGTAGCTCTCCACTATTTCCTTGACATTGTTCTAACATCTAATCCTTTCATCATTTGACTGCCTTTCTGTGTAGATCTAAAACAAACGCCTTGAACATTTCCCAGAAGATGATTGAGATGTTTGTAAGAACAAAGCATAAAATCGACAAGCGGCATGAGTTTGCCCTGGTTGTCATCAACGATGATGCTCTGTGGGTGGGTAACACAAGCTTAGTTATTGTTTCCTAAAAAGTTATTAATAACTTTACTGTTTATGTTAAGTTTTTAAGATAGACATAAAGAATGGAAACCACTGGATATTTGCAAATAAATAGATTTTTTTCTGACCTATACTTATTAAGAAAAGGGTAAAATCAGACAAAAGCTTCTACATGTTTTCTTTTTATGTATTTCTTTTTGTTTTATGAACATGATCATCATTCTTATCATATGTTTTATGTTATCACATGTTTTCCTACAGTTGTCTGGCTTCACATCTGATCCGCGGGAGCTGTGCAGCTGTCTGTATGACTTGGAAACCAATGTGTGCGAGTCCTTCAGTATCCTTTCATCAAATAATAAACAGCAAAATTCTCTACATAATAAAATCAGATCAACCTTAACTTCTATATTTAGACCTGGAAGATCTCCTTAATGTCATGTAAGTAGTGTTTTGGTTTTTCTGAGTAACTCAAATGAACATTAAGCACAACTTAAAACAATGTAGAAATGTTTTGCAATGTAAAATCCTGCTCTTATGCCTTTTGAAGTCGTCAGAAGATTGAGCTGCCATTGATGGAGAACGTTCAGACCATCCCTCCTCCATACGTGGTGCGGACTGTGCTTATCTATAGCCGCCATGCTGGGCCAATGCAGTTCAACCCTTCAGAGGCTGTTAGTGTGAGTTCATAAGTACTCAGTCTTTGTTGGAGTTAGCACACATATCTTTTTTTAATCCAACTATCAAGTCTACCCCTTAAAAACACTGTATTTCAGTCAACCAATGTAGTCATTGTCTTATTTGGATTTTCTTTTGTAATTTAGAAGATGCTGCAGTCTCCCTATTTCTTCTTTGATGTGGTTTATTTACACAACGGGATGGAGGAGCAAGGGGACGAGACCAGCTGGAGGGTAAGTGCGCTTTATACAGGGATGCATGCATGGGTGGGTGGATGGATTTTGTTAAAATCTTCAACTTTACTGAAGTTATTATTTACCTCTATGTATCTGTATATTTACAATTCATAAACTATATATATATATATATATATATATATATATATATATATATATATATATATGTTTTTAGGAGATAATGGTATTTATTCGACAATGAATCAATAAAAAAAATGGTAAATATTGTTCCTATTACTTATATAAATAATTATCTTATGTTCATACTGGTTCCCAGGCTCTTCCTGTCTGTTGTTTCTCTTTGCATTAAAATTTGTGGCTGTTTTTGAAACTTGATGTTTGAATTTTCTCTTTCCTTGATCACTTAATCTGGACATTTCTGCTTTGTTCAGCTTCATTACTTCCAGTAGACATTATATCATGTGGCCCCTAATTGTTTACTTATTGTCCACATGTATAATATTCCTGCCGTCATGTTGTCTAGTTATGGTAAACAAACACAAAGAGCTTTGTATACTAGCAAAAGCAAAGTGTAGACAAAGCTCTTATAATAATAATAATAATATGCCAACAGGGAGCGCTAATTTTATCAGTCATATGTAACCATAGTGAGCTACTGACATAGTAATTTCTAACGTTGTAGTACTTGACGACTCCTCTTTGAAAGGGCTGCTTTTAAGTTTTTATCATCTGCATTTACTTATCCTTACTTGGGTTTTCCAGGAAAACTACACATCCTTCTGTAATCTGGACTCAAAAGCCATGTGTTATCGCTTCGAGGTCTCCTTGAGTGGACCCGCCATCGAGCTGCACAACTGCATGGCCAAGCTGCTGGCCCATCCTCTGCAGAGACCTTTCCAGAGTCATGCATCCTACAGCCTATTGGAGGGCGACGACGCCCCGGACACAGAGGCAACGGTGTAGAAATGGACAGATTAATATAGATGTTTTTGCTTTTCCTGTGAAATCCACACATGCAGCAAATATGCAGAAAAAAAGCTTTTATTTTATTTTTTATCTAAATGCAAAACTTTACTTTTTTCAGTGGTTTTGAACAAAGTTGTGGGGATTTTGGGGAAATTGGGTTTTCACCAAGTCACTGATTGTAAAAATTGTTGTTTGATAAAGAATCACTTGAACTGTCCTGAAAGTGGGGGAGTGTATGTTAAAGATTGAAGTTGGTTTAAAGTAATCTATTTAATATAATGGATGATGCAGCAGTTGGAGCGTCAGGCTTTGCTAAGCTCACCTCCATATTTTCCCATGATTTTCGTTTGATTTAAGATCATGAAGTGCAGGAAATGGCAATATGATCTCTACTGAGTGTTAATGTTTGATCATTTCCAAATTAAACAACAGTTTCTCTTTATTATAGTAGGTTTGGCCCATTAGTGTTTGGAAAATCACCCTGCACCAATAACACAAAGCAAGCCCAAAGCAAAACATACCCAGACTATCTACAGAACAGGACATGGCAGGCTATGCTACTGCTCAGGAGCTTGATTTTGGTCTTATCTGACTATTTCTCCTAAGCTGTAGTAATGAACAAGTGTGTGTGTCTACTTGTTTTCCTAATATGAATCTCAATAAACTTAAAATGATGTATCATCAAGAGAAAGAACAAGTTAAACATTCTAAAAGGGGCTTACTGACAAGAAATGTCAGAAAAGGGATACATTTATTGGAGGTATGGTGTCACTGTTGGACCCAGATTTAAAATGTGAATTCAGCTGAGGAAACTCACAATCAACAGGGGATCCTTATCACCCCCACTTCACATCGTGTAGATGTTTTTGATCATCCTACAGAAGGAAATCCAACAAATTATAAAACGCTCAACACTTCATTTTCATGTTAGGTTTGTAACAAACATTTTTATTTTATCTGTGATGCCTTTCAGCTTATAGCCTTATTGTAATGGGATAATTTTGTTCTCTTGTTAAATCTCACGCATAAAGACTGTATAATGTTATTTCCATTTTGTCTTTCTATGTGATGTTTCTTTTTTTCATGATTGTACAGAAAATCCCCTTTCTTTCATTAAGAAGCTACAGAGAAAGGTTTTTACTGAAAGTTAATTTTTTGGTTATAGTTAAAAACATGTAATCCTTTTTCTTATGTTTAAACTGAATGTTTTCTGTGTTGTTTAGTTAGACCAGGAGGTGGCAGCAGATTCCACCTTGACTGCTATACGTTATTTAGTTTTTATTTCCTAAATGCAGCACCTATCTAAAAACTGGAGATTTTGCTCATATTCTTCTCCTTCAGTCGTTCTTAAACTTCAGTCTTGGAGCAATGACTGAGAAAACTGAACTCCCCCAAGTAACACCATTAATACTTGTATTAAAATAGTGCAGATCAAATGCTGTAGGTTTAACATAGCTGCTGGTTGGTTTGAATAAAAGCACTGATTTTATTTTGTGAACTCAAGAAGCACTGTGTCAGCATTTGCATTAGTACAGTTCAACACAGTCGCGTACTATTGTCCTGTTTAGGTTTTTTCAAACTCCATCCAATATCTTTTTAAAAGAAACTAACTTTGGAGTATAAACATTTGAAAGATCTGTGTGTCTCATGTCCTCCACGGCTTTACTGTCTTATTAACATTTTTGAATTGAACAAAACTGGAAATTCAGATGATCATAACTGTTTTATCTCCATATTTAAATGAGTTCTCTTTTTAACAACATGCAACTATAATTTAATTCAGTTTATTTATATAGCGCCAATTCACAACACATGACATCTCAAGGCACTTTGCAGTTCAACCAGATCATACAGTCAAATTGATTCAAAGTTTTCTATCTACACCACAAAACCAGTTAATTGCATCGACTCTTTAGCAATCTCTCACTCTAAGCATGCTTGTAGCGACAGTGGAGATGAAAAACTCCCTTTAAACAGGAAGAACCTGCAACAGAACCAGACTCGGCGTATGCGGTCATCTGCCGACGCCGACTGGGGTTCAAGGAGACAGAAGCAGACATAGAACTATAGCAGTTGAAAATGCAGAAACGGAGTCAAAAATGTAAAGTGTATTTTCTTTAATCTACAAATGTTAGAAATTAGTAGGTTCCAACAAGAAAAGCTTTATTTATTTTTGTCAGGAGGTCGAATTTGGAGCAGTCAGTGTAAGTCTGAGTGTGCTTCCCTACCAGTGGTTGTAGTGCACTGAACTGGTGGAAAAATAGAGAGGAAGAACTGCCCCAAAATCTGCATCTATACCTCAATACCTTGGCAGCTAAACCGATGGAACTATTAAAGGATTTTTCTTCAGTACAGTGATCCCAAACATGCATCGAACGGGTACTTCAGTACATGAATTATGCAAACGCTTTTTATAATTTAACCATGCTTTTAAGATGAGTGTTACGGGAAGCCAGGTGGTCCAAATGATGTCACACAGTTTAAAGCATTGCTTGACATTAATATTCTGTTTGACACAACAAGGCTTTTATTAAGGCACTCTCAGTTATTATTTTTGTCAGTCAAGTCTTTCGTTCTCAATTTATGGTTGTCACTTCTGGTTTTTGGTCGATGAGGCTGCTTTCAAGTTTTATGTAAACATCTTATTCGCCTCATGCTGTGTGGATGAACAGAGACAAAATTAAATATAAAGATACTAAAAATCTAAAATTAAAATAGACTTTCAGCTAAGGAGAAAAACATTTCTCAAAATAGAAAAGTGTTGAGTTTTAGAAATATAAGGGAAATATTCAAGATAAAAAGAAAAGAGCAGGCAATTCACATAAAGAGACAGTCAATACCAGGTTAAACTGGAAATGAAAAATAACATGCAGAATGAAAATGTAGAAAATGTATTTGTTTTGGAATATTAAATTTAAACTATTCATAATCAAAGCAGCTTTTCTAAAAGTTGTTTAGCTTTTTGCTTTCAGCAGGTTTTGTGCTGACATCACTAGTCTTCAAATATGCAACACTCCAGGTTTCTATCTACTGTAATTCTTTTTTTTAGAGGCATATAGCTTAGATTTAAATATTTGTCTTGTGGCTTTAGAGCTTTAAATCAGTAACCCTCTGTTGCGTATCCATGCATCCTCTCTAATACCATGTGCTTATCTGAGATCAGATTACAGGGGTAGAAGGGAAACCTCCCTTTCTTATAAACACCCTCCGGTTCATCCTTGTGGATCTCAAGGCATTTAACTCCCAGGCGTGCTCCAATTGCTGTTGGTAAGAAACATTTACCACAAATGTTATTCTGGACATAAATACCACAGTCTGAGAACCATTTTGGACCAGATTATAATGTTTTGATCTTTTTCAGACAGGAGTTGTTAAACTATGGAACAAAATTTACATTTCAAAATTTGGCTTCATCCATTGTGTAAATGATAAAAATCAGGATTTTTGGTAGACTAAAGCACTTTTAATATGAATTGTTCTTCAAATATCTTCTTTACTTATGAGTTTATCACTAACTTTATTTTTCCAATTTAGGTATCATTTTAGATTTTGGTTTCTAAAAGATAAACTCATTTAAGATAATAAAGTGTAGTTTTAGTGGGAGTTCTTTTTCCTTTAAGTAGTTATAGTTCTATTTGCTAAACTTTGCATAAAGTTTCTAAACAGGAAACTGGAAAATAATTTCGTCAATAATAACAAATTGTGATTTTAAGAATCCGTTTTCAATCAAGGACAGAGATTTCTATATAAGAACATGTTTTAACAAATTCAGGTTTGTTTTGAAGCAAAATACAAGGCCACTCACCACCTACGGCTGAATAAGAAGCCATCTTTAACATAGTGTGTTTATTTTACTGTGTTTATGAAGTGGGAATGATATAACCAAAGTATTTAATTGGTTCAGACCCATCAATGCATAAAGTAAAAAATAAGATGATTGGAAAATTGAACAGATTGAATCTGGAATTCTGTGCATTTCAAATAAACTCTAATGTAGATATTACAGGAATCCTGATCTCGGTTTACTCCAGGGGAAGCACGCCATACTCCATGTTCTGTTACAGCACATTAAACATTTGCACCAGAATAAGAACCAGCTTGAATTAACAAGTTGGTGCAACATTTTGAATATAAATAAAAAATAAGGAAAAAGATAAATGAAACTTGTTTCTATTTATTTTTTTATATGTACATATAATGCATATTATGATAAACCCAAGGTTAAACCAGTGCAAACATACAAGGCATTGATCTGGAAACTGTGACTATTATGTGTTCATCAGAGGGAGAGCCTGGGTTAGAACCCATCTCTGTGGTCCCTGGTTTAGTGCTCTGCAGCACTGACCTGAAGGTAAGAGTCCAAATCCTGGATGGAAGGAAGGTCAGCTCTGATTAACCTCTCTGCAGACCAGATTGTCCATTGTAGTTGGAACCTGTCCTGTTTTTTGGGATGAGCCAAACTACATAGTGATGGACAAACTCAGGATAGCCTGAATAATGGAAGCACGGTCTGGACTTTCATTTCAGCAGTTTCTATGTGTAAAGACCAGCTCAGGCCCTGAGAAAAGGTGGTTCCCTGGAAGTGATCCAAAGTCAACACGGTGTGGCTGAGGATATTGCGGGGTGTTACTGGGAAGTCCACTGTCTTGGGTGGCCAGAAGTTTCTGACTGTACAAGTAAACCAGCCAATCAAACTCGTGTCTGTATGCAGACTTGTCAGTATCCTTGCTTAAACCACAAAAAATCTCAGTTTTTCTCATTACTCTATGTTATTTAAATGTGTCTCTTATCCAACAGTTCAAGAGGTGACACACACTGTATCTTCCTGGTTGGTTGGTTATCTCAGAAGGTGTAAGTCTGCAAAGTTGGGTTTCCTGCTTTTGTTCAGAGGTAATCAATCCTGTCAGCTCTGCTGTTCAAATGTATCCTTTTAGATTAGCTTTTCTACATTAAATGAATGTTGCCTGAGACCGACGTTAGTGCAGGAACACTGACACTCAGAGAACCTTTACTTTTTTCACACTCTTCAGGACACCGCTGCGCCCCTTATCATTCCCTCTGATAACAGCTCAGAGGGGATCCAGAGCCCCTGTTGGGAGATTTTGTTATTCCCTTAACTCTGAAGAGTGACAGCTACCTATTGTTTCTGTTCTCTCAGTCGCCCATTGCCATGACTCCTTTCCGCGCTGGCTTAGGACAGGATGTAGTGGACATTTTTGCTGTATTTGTTTGGCATTTTCTGCTTTACTCCTCAACCTGTTATACATTGTTCCTATTCCACTAGGGAATAGGTTGAGGTATTCTGGGGTGGCTATATTTAAAAATGGCAAGGATTGGTAAAGCTTCCTGTTTTCCTTAAAAAAATGTGAGCCACACAATTGGAAGATTCCATACTATTTATGAATTCTGTTTCCTAAAGACCGTATTGTTTTATTTAGATCTAATCTGTAGAATTCACATCTGGAACATTACAGTAGGCTTGTTTTCTTATTCGTTCATCATGTTTGTTTTGCTTTTTAAAGGTATTAATATTAATATTATAAATATTTAAGAATAATCCAGGTACACCCAAGGCTGATGCCCACAATAAAGTGGGAGATGCTGAAACACCACTATTGCTGCACACAGTAAGGAGGATTTAAATTAGGAATGTGGGCAGATCACCTAAATAACCTCTAGAGCAGGCATCCCCAAACTCGGTCCTCGAGGCCCACTGTCCTGCAGGTATTAGAGGTTTCCTTGCTCCAGCACAGCTGATTTTAATTGAAAGCTAATTGACAGGCTTTTGCTCTACTGCAATCATTATAATCAGCTGTTTTAAAGCAGGGAAACCTCTAAAACCTGCAGGACAGTGGCCCTCGAGGACCGAGTTTGGGGATGCCTGGTCTAGAGCAAAACATAGCAAGAATGAAATATGTATTTTTCACAATGCCGTCTATGGAACAGTGTTACAGACAAAGATTGAACTACTGAATTGCTTGAAATTATGCCTATTTGAAGAAATCTAGTTCCCGCCTTAAGACCTATATAAACTCAACCACTTGTCATACATGGCTGAATGATCTTATACCTGAAAGTCTGTTTAGCAGCTGGTGGTACTGGTGCCATGCACTAAGAGGTAGGCTTGAAACAGAAGAGAACCTTTAAGATTTGCAATTTTAACTCAAATTAACAGCTAGCTCAGTGAAACCTAAACAAAGTTTGGTTTATTAAAAAGATCACGATCCAAAAGACCCACTGAATGACTTGTATTTGCAGAGGATAGATGTATATATGGCGTTACCCAAAATTCAAATATATATTTGCTGTATATACTATGCCTGAATTCTGTGTCAGCTGCCGAAAACAAGACAGTTTAAATAATGAATTTATTTATCAGACATTATGGGATTATTCCATTATTATGCTGATGATACTCAGCTATATTTACCTATAACTCTTAATGTACATAGACTACAGACTAATCTAGGATTACTTTAAAGTTTCTGGTTTTTAATTCAGATAGGACATAAGTTATTGTGTGTGGACTGGAATCTGAAAAATAATCCACTAAGTCCATTATCTGAATGGAATGTTGGCCTCAGGAAATAATATAAAAACCGTTGATGTTATTTTTGATTAGGACCTGTCATTTAAATTTAATTTCAAACAATTCTGTTCAATCTGGAATGTAAATGGAAACTCTGCCTCTCAAATATGACACCCTAGCAGTTCCCTATGTTCCTAACAGACCACTTCATTCTCAATCTGTATTTTTATCAGTGGCACGTAGAATCTCTAAACATTTGCTTTGAAGGCAGATATTTTAGTTATCAGGCTCCTCTCCTGTGGAAGCAGCTACCACTTTTAGTCTCTGAGTCAGACCCCTGTCTACATTTAATGCTAAGCTTAAAACTCTCCTTTTTCCTAACTATAGGTTCCATAAAACTTATAGTTAGGATGACCCAGGTTATCCTGAGCTTTCTCTATACTGTAGTTATACTGCTATAGGTTTAGGCTAATGGGGGGCATAGAGACCCCTTTACATTACTTGCTACATTCTACTTCTATCCTCTGGTTTTCAAATGTTTGTTAAACTTTTAACTTTATATTCTCTCTGTTTTTCCTCATTATAGTAGCTACACCCTATACCTATAGCCTATGCAGGTATTTTAACTTTACCTTCTCTTACATATAAAAAAATGCCTGAATCAGAACTTCAATCCTCTTTTTGTGTGACTATGTCTTCTTGAACCCAATTTAGCCTTGGCAGAAGACTCCTCACATCGAGCCTGGTTCTGCTGGGGGTTGTCTGCCTGTGAAAACTGAATTTTTCCTCTCCACTGTCACTGCATGCATCCTTGATGTGAGGGATTGCTGCAAACTCAAGGCCACAATACAAACGAATGTGACCTTGACTTTGCAGGCACTGAATGTCCACTGTCCCTACATGCTCGTCCAACAGGTGACTCAGTACTTCAGCTGGGTTTCCTTAGACAGGAAACTTTTAAACACTCTATTGTTTGGAATTTTCTCTGTAAAGTGTTTTGACATGAGATGATTGAAAATAAAAAAACACTTTGATATAGCAAGGAAAGCATCAATGTTGATGGTCTGTAATAAAAAATATAAAAAAATTTGGCACTCTCTTCACACAGAATCATTAAAACTATTGCTTCCCTACAAAAACATTAATCACAAAAATATGTCTGCCTAATATGACCTTTGATTACTCATTCACATAAAAAGCACTTTCCTTTAAATGACAGAGGAGTCACTGTCTGGATCCCAAACATTTTCAATTATGGCTATAAATGAAATATGTTTTTAGGAAAGGACCTATTTTCTAATTCAACATTTAAGTTTAAGTATTATTTATTTCAGTTTGCTTATGTAGTGACTGTTCAGATCAAAGGTCGTTATAAGGCATCTTATAATAACCCCTAAAAAAAACTTTTTTTTAAAAGAGGGCAACTGATTTTATATAAATTTTCTGTTTCAAACTTAAATTTTCTCGAAGTAAATTTCTACATTTTAAATTTTATGATCTGCAATATTTAAAGGTATTACTGATTAATTAAAGATATAATGGAGGATTTTCACAAATATTTGAAATACCGTCCTCTCACTTTTTAAAAATAAATGCAGATACACGATGGCCTTTTTAAACATCTCACCTGAATGATTGACATTTAGGAGGACCACTTATTCGGATGATCCACCCGGGAAAAGAACAGCCTCCACTATACCTTTAAATTTTGATGCCTTTGGGAATTTCAATATTGTACGTGTGGTGACTTGCCGTTCTGGGATTTTTTGTTTCTCTTTAGTTTTCACTTAGCGTTAGGCTTTGATTATGTGATTATTTTGTTACTGTAACTGTATAATTTTTGAATCACTTCTTGGTTTTACTATTCCTGTTTGGTGTTTTTTCAGTTATCTCCAGTCCGTTCCCCTCTCCTCTCGTTTTCCCCTTGTTCAATTTTTATTTTCAAGTAATTGTCCTTATTTGCCTTTTGCTTCATTTAAGTTACTTTCTAGTTTTAGTTCAGTCCCTTTCCTTTCCCTTTAGCTGCTTCTGTCCACACCTTCTCCCAATTAGCTGATCACTCCACTCATAGTTCTGTCTCCTATATATACATTGCTGGTTTCTCTTCATTTTATTTATGTATGTTTCCCTCAAGTGTCTCTTTGTGTTTGTTGCCAAGTTCCCTGCCAGTTCAGTCTGGATTTATGCTTCTGTTGCTTTCACTTCATCATTAAACTTACAAAAAACCATCTCTGCTTCCATCTCTGCATTTGGGTCTTCTATGGCTCAATTTTAGTTGTCTGTTGACATAATTCAAAGTAACCTGGAGTAAAGCAGCTAAATGAGGTGAAAGGTCAGAGGTGAAGATTTTCTGTGCACAATGAGGCTACAATGGCTGCAAAAATATGAATGGAAAGTTCTTTGGTGGTGATGCAGCTGAAGGCTGTGCTCTCAAAGAGGTCATTCAGGAAGGAGAGAGGAGGGGACAAGCAAGTCTACCTCCAGCCCCCTTTATAAACATGCTTTTTACTGCATCTTGACTAAACTCCAAAGGAAAAACAGAAAACCAAGGATTGGAGATACATCTGGTTTTATTTGATCTTTTTTAGCATTTCCATCTGATTTACTTCAGCTTTTACTCTGTAAAAAAAAATCCCACATCAGAAAAATAATACTTTTTAGTTTTGTTTTAGTTTTCAGCACCAGCAGCCATGTACAGCTCCAGCTACTCCCGTGCCAAACTTGGCCCGGAGTCCAGACAGCCACTGTATAGGAACAAAGGAAAGAGCTGCGGCTACTACATGAGGATTGTTTTTTTCTTTTCATCCCTCATCCAATCTCTCATTATCGTCAGCCTTGTGCTCTTCCTCATCTATGGACAGCCAGAAAAGTCTGCAGAGGAGAAACGAGTCGAGGTTAGAGAGTTCTTCTTTAGTAACTGTTGATGATTTATTTAGTGACTGCCTTTATGACTGAATCATTATAAAGGAATCTTTGTCTGATTATGTATAAAAGAAAAATCTAAAGTGTCATCTGTCACACAGACTTATTGACCTATTGGACTTTTTCCTTTTGCTGATGTGGATGATTCATTTTTTTCCCTGGTTGTATGCAATATTGTTCACTGATGCTGATTATTCTACTTGTTCAGGAACTGGAGCAAGGCTTTAATAAGCTAAACGTGAACAACTTTGAACTGAAGAAGGAGAAAGCTGAGCTCGAAGCTAAGCTGGCTGCTCAGAAAGCTGAGAAAGCTGCTCTAGAGAAACAGATGGCAAAACAGCTAAACGAAACTACCAAAGTAGAAAACGAGCTCAAGAAAAAGATTGTAAGTATAGAGGATAAACACTGGGAAGATGCTTCAGTGTATTTTGCCATGTATTGCACTTTAACCTTTTTAACAGAAACAAACGACGTTTGGTAAATTTAACATTGTGTTGGATAAAAAAAAAAAAAAAAACTTTCTTTAGTTTCTCATTTTAGCACCTTTGCAACACAAAAAAGTTGCTTTGTATCAATTCAACAGCTGCCTTTTTTTTTTCTTTGAATAGACAACCCTTCAAAATACAGTGACTTTGCTGCAGCGTCCAACTCGTACTTTCATCCCGCCCCCACCACCTCCCCCGGTCACAAATAACAGTAAGTAACTAAAAAAATATCTAATACTGGAATTAAAACTTAAACTATACCCCAAATATACTGAAACAAATAATAAATGTAGCTTTCAATATTCTTTAGTTTGAAATGATTATGAAACTAATGAAATCATGCATTTAAATCCTTTCTGTTTTTATATTTTGATGATATTTTGATTATCTTTCCAAACATTTTATACAAAATGCTGTAGCAGATACATCTGCTGTAAGCAAACTTCATGTTTGTGTTTGTGTCCAAAAGCATTCACTGCCATTTTTATTTCTACTCCAAACTACTAATCTGAAAGACACTGCATGAATAGGTAGTCTTATTAAAAACTACTTGCACATCTGTTCTGTTCACCTTGGATGCAAAAAAAAAAATCCTCATTTTGAAAAACTCAATACAGAGTATCCCTAAAGCTTAGGTCTAGCCTATTTCTTTTAAGTTTATAGATAACTGACTTGCCATACATTGATCATGGCACAGTTTTCCCAATACAATACATATAGTAAGAAATGTTGGAGGTGAGGATGTTCCTTCTCTTATAACGATTTAAACTGAGTTGAATTCTATGTATTCAGTATGTTTTACCATCAAGTTTAATTTAATTACATTTTTTGCATTGGAACTGAGTACAAAATCTGAATTAAACCAAAATGAATTGTTATAATAATCAGTCTATCACAGCCTAACACAGAGATTTTTTGGCCTCGGGCATCTTAACAATTAAGTTTCTTAACTAATATATACTTTTTCATCATAAAATCTCATTTAAAATATCACAAGAGAGTCAGGATGGTGTGCAAAGCTTCAAAAATCAAAATGACTCACACGTCCAAACTAATCAGAATCTACTTTTTATATTACCACTAACAAAGCTCAACTATAGAAGATTGAAAACTTTATTGTTTAAAGCTGCATTTAAGCCCATAGGATCACATAACTTTTATGTACTTTTCAAATCTGACCTGTGTTTTTTGTAACCAGATGTCTGACAATTAATCACAAATTAAACGGACAGCATACATGCTGATGTTTTGGTACCAAATCTATACAAATGAATAAATAAAATCTATGTAATCAGAATGTTAAAAAAAATTAAAATAAATAATTTCAGTAACTCAGTTTACTAAGTGAAACACATTATACAGATTAAATACACACAGACTGGGTTTATTAAATACAATTGTAGGTGTCAGAACTATATTGTTAACCTAATATAAACATTACAAAATAAAGATTTTAAATGTAATATGTGTTTTGTTATATTATTCCAACTGGCAGCAATAGTCACAAATCCTGCAGATCTAATTTAAGTCTACCAAACCTAGTAGAGAGGTAGAAACTATGCACTAAATTACACCAACATATATCATTTTTGGAAGGGGAGTGGGAATCTTATTTAACACGGAGGGAAGTCCTGCTGTCATACATACTGCAGAAAAGTTGTTAGTATTGTGGTTCTTTTTTGTGACACAAACCTTACCTTTTGAACTCTGCAGATCAAGGAATTCTAAAAGCAACCATCTCTGAAAAGGAAAAATTAATAGCCCTTGTTAAATCAAACTTCACTCAGACGGTTCAGTATCTGAGTCACGAGAGGGACAGGGCCCTCCGAGAACGAGACATCCACATCGAGGAAGCCATCAACCTCCGCAGAGATAACAACCTCCTGAGGGAACAGATAAATATCTATACCAGGTGCTGTCTACCTGTCCTCATGATGTAGTTGACTTTAAATATAAGGGACAGTCTCATGATGGCAGCTTTTCTTTCAAATCAGGAAATGCAAAGAAGACTTTGCTCAGTCTCTGGATGGGATCCAGTCGGTGACCACCAAGTTTTTGAATCAGATCCACAACATGTTCCCTCACTCGCAGACGTTCCACCTCTCCTGCCAAAGCCAGAGGGAGCAGCTGGAGAAGATCCGAAGCAGCTGCACCAACCTGTCCAGGGATGTGGAGAGCAAGTTCCAACTCTATCTGGACAATGTGGGCAACAAGGTGTGTTAATGCAGACTGTTTTTAATCACCTTAGAATAGTAGTAGAAGGAGATGAATACATTTCCAGTCTTAATAAGTATAAATACTCCAGTAATGATCCTATATCTACTGGTTTAGATTGAAGGTTTGTCTCTATGTACTTTTTTGTAGTTTAGTGAAACAGGAGGGGTGCATCAAGTTTGACACTTTTCTTTATATTTGGTTTTGTAACATTTTCATATGTAAAATCTGAATACATAGAAATATCACAACATAATATCGTACAAAATAATAAGCCGTTATTTAACCAGAAAAATCCTACTGAGATTCATAATCTCTTTAAAAAAAAAAAAAAATCCAGGACAAACTTGGCAGCAGAAAACAGAGTTATACACCATTAAAACAAATCTGAAATTATTAAAATAAACATTTTCCCCAAAAAATAAGTAAATACATTAAAGAATCCTATTGATCTTTTGCCAGCATAGTTTCTAAACATCATTTAACCTCACAGGTAAAGATCGCTGCCAAACCAACCATGGATTAAATTTCCCCTTAACAAATATTTCCTAAAACCTCCTCCAAAGAGCAGAATGAACAGGAAACCTGTTTCTCCAGGGAGGAAGTTTACTCACGACATCATTCCTGATAAATCTGGCTAAAGAGACAGATGTCCTGTGAGGCAAACCGAGGTCAAGTCTAAGGTGAAGCTGTCCGCCCTGCTGATGCAGCAGGACAAAAAAACAATGCATTTTTTTTCCCTCTGTAGAAACATTTTATGTGGACTCCAGAAAAGGTTACAAAAATATATACCGTATATATTTTTTGTTGTCTTCCTTTTGTTTATTATTTTGTACATTCTGTGTTAAAGTTGTGTTGATCAAACTATTTCAGCAAGGCTTACTTTCAGCATCTCTAGGTTAGATTTAGACAGAATGCAGAGCTTAAAGAAGAAAATAAAGTGTGTTTCTTTCTGGGTTACACAATAGAAACATGGGAGCCAATGCCACAACTCAGATGTCCATGCATGTCCACAGGGAACAGGTGTAAATAATAATAATAACAATAATATTAATTGAACTTTATTAATCTCACACTGGAGAAATTTACCTTTGAATTTAACCCATCCCTTTGGGGAGCGGTGGGCCGCCACCTTGCGGTGCCCTGTGAGCAGTGTGGGGTTAAGGGTCTTGCTCAGGAACCCAGAGTGGAGGCTGTGGGGATTGAACTGGATTTTTGCAACCTTCTCAGAGCACAAGTGCACTGCTCTAACCTAATCATCATCTGTCTTAGAAAAAAAATCATGTGTGGAAACAAAAAAACTGAGAAAACAATATAAAGATAAAATAATATGAATAATCTAGCCCAAATAAACATAGAATTCTTAATATAATAGAAAACGAGTACTGCTCTAATTGAAGGCAGGGACTTGCACAGACCAGAAACCACTGCTGAAGGGGCTCTGTGTGTATCTGCAAATGTATTAGTTTGCTATTTAGCTGTTTAGCAGGAGAGCTGTGGTGTGAAAGATAAGACAAATAATTTAATTATTTAAAATAATTTAAAGCCCTATGGGCTTTTAATACCATTTAAAGCTGGATCCTGAAATGGCCTTAAAACCAGTGTAAAGAGGCAAAAGCAGATGTTGTCTGATCTCACTGCTCCACAGCCGTGGGAAAGCTCATTTTTACTGACCTGTAAAGAAAGAAAAGGTCTTCATTCAATGTTTTCAATGTCTAAAACACAGAATAAACAAAAATCAAAAAGTAGAAAAGCAAATAAAAAACATAAAATACATCCAGGATTAAAAAAACAAACAAATATTGAGCTCAATAACAAATACTAGAAAGTTGATGTTTAAAGATTGTCCAGCTTAAAGGGATTTTGGTTTCATGCTTAGATAAGATGAGAAGATAAAACATTAGATAAGCACACAACTGGTCATTACAGACACATAACATATAATCATGTTAGATTAAAACCTCACAGAGAGAACAAAACACAGGAAGGACAATTAAAACGTAAAGTAACCATAATTTCAGCTTTATTTCAGTATCATTATTTTAAAACTTTGTGTAAAATCTAACCTGCCTTATTCCATTATATTTACACAACTGTTTATATCAAAGTATAATTCTTCAAAAACATTATATTAATTCTGGCTCCAATTATCTCATACTGCATGTATATATAAAATATATATTTCAATCTCTAGGTGGTGGAGATTCAGGGTCTCTCTAGTAAGCTGGAGGCGCACAACTCATACCTGACCTCCAGCCTGGAGCAGTGTGAAAAAAAGCACAAAGAAGCGGTCGCCAAGGCTGCCAGCGACTTAGAGCTCAAGCAAAAGGCTCATGATGACAAGGTGGGTGTTGGTAAAGTTGTTGGAAAGATTAAGGACAAGCTTTTGTTTTTCAGTACCTGTTCTCAATGCATGAACTAAAGATTTTTGTTCAAATAACTATTTTTTTAAATAGCCTGTGTCTTTTTTATTATTTTTTTTAGGTAGAGCAAATACTGATTGAGAAGAAACGACTGAGCGAGCAGAAGACACTGCTGGATGAAAAACTGGCCCTGAGAGAGAAAGAGATTCAGATGCTGAAGGAATCGATGCCCAAGGTAGGAAGCACGACTTGATACAGCTATTTTATGTGTAATAAAACAGCCTAACCAGATTGTTTCACGGAGATGTTGTGGAATTTCAGATCGTATCTTAAATTTTGGAAAAATGTTGATTGTTTGGTTAATTAGGCAGGAAAGGCTGCAGCAGCAGGAAGGATGGAAAAACAGGATAACAAAGCAGAACATTTAGTGCTTAAAATCAATCAGCAAACACTGTACAGCTCTTCGGTGTTGGAAAGCAGTTGCAGTGAATTCATAATCTATGGTTCAAAAGAAATGAAATCATGTATTTATTTACAGACTGGTCCACTAACCGCTGCTTCGCCGCAGAGTGTGCCTCAGCAGGGGAGACCGGCTGCAGCGAACTGGCCGGTCAACGGCTCAGCTGGAGTCAGTAATGCTCCAATTGTAAGTTTACATTCTAAAAACCTATGTAAACAATCCTTGAAGCAACTTTTGAATAGATCATTGGTATGTTTTGATTTTTGCTTATGAAGAAGATAAAATAAACTTTAACTTTATTGATCTCAGATTGGAGAAATGTACATGTGCATTTAACCCATCCCCTTGGGGAGCAGTGTGGGGTTAAGGGTCTTTGCTCAGACAGCCAGAGTGGCAGTCTATGGGAGTGGGGCTCGATCTCAAAACCTCAGCATTCCAAGCTCAATGCCTTAACCAATAGGCCGTCACTCCACTCCTGCTGCTCATACTGAAGCTAAATTTATAGCATTAATATCACAAAAAAGATACGATCTCAACAAGATGATAAAGACAAATGCAGAGTTGCTGCTTATCATTTGAATTAGAAACTGAAGTTTTTGAATAATAGTAAAAACTGTCCTGAACTTAAATAAGTTTGTAAATGTGGTTATTTTTCTGCTCCTGTAGAACCAAACTGTCTTTACCATTCATGCATCAAATATACTCCCATCATTTGTGTTGATAATTGTTTTCCATCTCTCAGGTTGGTTGAAAGGAGCCATCCGTCCATCCACTACCTGCTCCATCCACCTCTGGCACAGAAACAGACTCCAGTTCTAATGTACATCCTTCATCTCTTAATGAACATGTTTATAGAACAATTTGCAAACCCTTGGGGAAACCTGTTAATAGCTAATGTAACGCATCCACCTATGGTTTTAGGGTTTTAAGAATAAGAACACAATTAAAACAATCTGAATTTCACCAGGTCGTAAAGTTATTTCAGGCTTACTTTAAAGGTACATAAAATGTAAGAAATTCCACATAAAACAAAACCAAGCAGAAATAGAAAAGCTTTGTGTTTCTGTTGCATGTAAGAGGAGAAGGTTAGCAGCCAGGTGTTTCTAACTGATTATCTGCAAGTACAGTCTCTTTTCTGAAGGGCAGGACTTCTACCTGACTGCTGTGTTCAGGTATAAATTTATTTGATTAAAAAATTTAAAGTTTTAAGAGCAGTAGGATTAAAGAAGCAGATATCAGACTAGAAAAAGCTAGAAAAGTATTTTGAACATAGTTGAAATAATTTCTTCTAATGCACCACGAGACTCCAAATTTACATATTCAATGTAAATTTTAAGATGGGACAACTTTGCTTTTCTGTACGGATGAAAAGAGGCAATGCTGCACAGCACCACGTCAGGCCTGGAGGTGGAGTGGTAATGGTAAACAGTTGTACTTGGATGGTGCTTTATTAAGTCCCAGAAAGCTAAAGAGCTTTGAGCCACAACCAGTGTGGAAAGCAAGTGAAAAGCAAGTAAAAAGTTCTTGCCAAGGACACAACCACTGAGACGGGTTACAGGATGAGCTCTTCCTGTGCCCGTGGAGCCTTCAATGATTTGGCCTGTAACGCTTCCACCAGAATTGAGCACATTGCAGCAGAATCAAAGATGGACCTGTGTGTCCAGCAGCAGCATTGAAAAATAGCACAAAATTGCTCTTAGAAGCTGTGAAGTGAGGGCAGCTAAAGGTGGCTCTAAAAGCTACTGCATCATGAGGTGCATTCCGTGCATTCTCTTACCCCCAACATTTTCTTCTTTATCATATGGCTTCATATATTTATCCGTAGATACTTCAAATCTGAATTACTTTATTGAGAGCATTTAGGGTTTAAGTAAAAAAAAAAAAAGTGAACCTGGTAAATATTAAATTCTTATTGTTTTACAATACTTAAAACCAAACAAGTGTGCTCTGGTTTCCTTTTCTCACATGTCTGCTGTATTAATGTCACCCTTTCAATATGTAAAGAACAAAAAACTGAGTGACACATGTGTAAATATTTTTTTTTGAGTGTCGCTCACAGACTAAAAATGGCCTCTGACTCACTCTGAAACATTATTGTCCTCTTATTGTCTGAGCAGCAGTAAAAATGTAGACCAGGATACAGACAGCAGCTAATCTTGCCTGCTATAAGCTAAAATAGCCACATTTATGTTTCCTCTTGACTCATGGATTATACCACAACCTGCCTGCAACAGTACAGACGTAAACACATCATCAAATCTGCAGCCGGTGGCTCTGCTTCTAATTTTAGTGTTTATGGTGGGCTTAAAAAAGGGTTGAAACTATTAAGCACCCATTTTATGGCTAATTTTATAGTTTAAGTAACTAATATAGGAACCATTCTCTAGCTTTACAGCTTCCTTTTCCTTCCAGAAGCAAAGTGTACATTGGTTTCTGTGACTGGAAACAGATGCAGGTCTTTTTTACGATTATTAGGGGCTCATTCTGGTACACATGAAGAAGGAAGGGGAAAATATAGAAACATCGTAAAAAGGAAACTGTACTTATGTTCAGGATCAGGTGGAGATATAAAGACTGTAAATATTGTACAGATGATCATTTCACGCTGCAGATTTTTCTTGATTAAAATCATGTTTTTTATTCTGAAATTGTTTTTTTCCTCCTACTAACATATATAAATGTATACAAATTGAAATATCTAGCACACAATGTGATGTAATGTTGTTAACTTGCGTGATAGCATTAAACCGATGTATTAATGTGAAACTTGATTTTAAACAGCTTGACTTCTCCTAAATATGTAAATGTAGATGTGTCTGTAACTTGTTTGTGCTTGTAACTGTGATATTATTGTTAAATAATTAAAATAACTTTATTCAGTCAAAAGTCAAATGACTGCTGTGAATGCAAAAAAAGAAAAGAAAACATGTGATTGTCCTGCAGCAAAACCGAAAAACTCAACCAGTTAATCTGTTTCTAATTATTAGAGTTGAAGAGAAGCTAAAATAAACCACTACTGCAAACCTTTTGTTTGTGAAATCATGTAAACGAAACGGTTACTTGACTATCCTCAGTGTGTGCTACTTAAAAACATTTAGTTAATTCAGGAGTTAAACACTGATATATCTGCTTTAGAATAAAACCATATGGGTTCACCTAATATTAGTTGGTAAAAGGGTTATTGGTCTTTATATCCCTGCTTGTGTTTACATTCATGGCCTAAAATTAAGGCTGCTTCCATTGTACGCTGGAGTATGTCAGAGCTGCACCTCGTCACTGATCCTGTTTGTGGTGTTTAAGCAGAGAAGTGTCCGATTTGGGAACCTCAGGATCTTATATTTCTAATATATTTCTTATATTCTTTCTCCTATTTGAAGACCCAAATAGTTTCAGTTCCCACTATCTACTCTTCCTTAAGTCCACAGATAAACAGATATACACAACATGGACAAACCATGCTGCAAGGAAAACAAAAGATAAAAATTCTGCTAAAGTAAAATTATTTGAAATAAAACACAAAGGGTGGAAGTAATAAGCAAAATACGATAATAAATAGTTTAGTACCTGGCTGCAGAGCTGCTTTCCTTCAGCAGGAAAAAAAAATAAAGCTGTTCATAGTTAATCGGAAGTTTGATGAAGACAGATTGTATGAAACTGGAGCAAGAATTTAATTTCCAGCAGGACAAAGATCTTAAAACCCTAAAACACCAAGGTTTACAGAAGAATATAAACGCTTTAACAGTTACAAAACTGGTGTTCACAGACACTGTTCATCAGATTTGACTGAGACTGAAGGATTTACAAAAGAATAGGAATGATTTCAGTCTCTAATATGTAATTTTGGTGGAAGCAGTGAATGGAGTGAATGGTACTTCTACAAAATAGGGGACACTGAGGACGGTTGCAGCTCTTTTTCCTTTTCTCTCAGCTACCTCAAGAAGACTGAGCCAAGGCCAACCACTATATATATATATATATATATATATATATATATATATATATATATATATATATATATATATATATATATATATATATATATATATATATATATACAAGTTTTGTATCACATATGAAGTACTCTTTTTATATAAGTTTGTATCGAAGCAGGAACATGTTTTTTTTTACACTGTGTCCATGAGCTCTGGGGAACAGATACTGGGCATATTGAGTTCTGGGGAGGGTCAGTAGCTCTGGGGAGGTAACACAGATGAAGCAGTGATTGGTACCAGGTACTGGGCATGAAGTAACTTGTTTTTGTATCTGATCATTATGTAATTTTGTTTTTGGTTTCAGCTGTCCACGAGCCCTGGGTGGGTTCGGGGGATGCCGGTTCCATATTTTGGTTTCTGTAATCATGCGCTCCCGTCGTGAGAGGGAGCGGTCACCTTTCCTGATTGGGTGAAAGATTTTACTTTGAAGTGTGGCATAAATGACGGGGGCTTGTTGACACCGGTGGGTTCTGCTAGGGTTGCGTACGGATGCCTAGCTGCGTGGGTTGCTGCCCTGCCTGGATTGACCGGCCCTCGGATCCTTGTGTCACGGTAGGGGGACAATACAAATTGTATTGAGACAATATAATTTGTATTCAGCACCATGCCTTAATTGATGTGCTTGCTTTGCTGTTTTCTGTGGCAGAATAAAACAACACATTTTAATTCTAGCAGAAACAGTTTGTGTGTTCATCTTTATTGCCGACTAGTCCCGATCCTGCCTAAATTTCATAATACGTTACCCTACATGGATAATCTTCAAAATAGTAAAAAAGAGTAAAAAAAGTAAACTCAGTGTTTTTACTCCATTTTGTACTATATCTATTTATTTATTTTTGCACTGCTCTGAACCTCATCAATGACTTTCGCACCATCTGTCCTACACTTTTTACATTTTGATCACTGCTACACTTTATCAATGGAAATATTCACTTCACCGCTAAGCTGCTCATCCACTGTCGAAAAAGCTGTTTGTATTGAAATTTCGCTTTGTATACACCCTGTGCATACAAAATGACAATAAAGTTTTTCTAAGTCAGAATTGTCCCAATAATTATTAAAGTTTCGCAAATCAGCTTTTGATCTTTAAACATTCTGAGTTACCCAAACCGTAACCTTGGGCTCTGGAAGTGCACAACATCAGACATTCAGAAATTAAACGAAATATTTTGAAACTTTATTAAACACTATTATTAACTATACCAATAAACTAGGCAAACATTAAGCTGTTTAAACGATCCCAAAAGCCAGTTTTGAAAAGGTCAAAACTTTTTAAAAAGTAATTTTTTAAAATAATTATTATTAAACTTTCTTTTTAAACATTTTTAATAAACATTCTGACAATAATAATCTAACAATCTCTTCCTTCTCCATCAGTTAGATTCACAGAAGTGGTATTGGTAAAAATCTCCTCAACCATCACTGCAGCCACTCTTTCTTTAGCTATGACAGAACAACATGTGTTAGTTACGCACGCAGATTTCAGCACATGCTAACTATGCAACTTCATTTGTTTAACACTTTTGTAAAGCAGTAATGTTTCCTCTTAAAAGGCCAGAGGGGGAGAGACCATGTGCTCCTTTCCTTATTTCATTAGGAAACAATCCCTCAGGCTCACGTTTCTGATGGATGTGAACGCTACAGGTGAGTCTGTCTGTCTTCTGTGAACAGGAAATCCTTTGTTTAACATAAAGTGTTTGTGATTCCATGTATAGCCCCGGATACCCTCATACACACTGTTTCACATGGATACAGGGTGGACCTGGCTGGATCCAGCTACGTCAGCGCTTACATCTCAAGACGACTACTAATCAAAACTGCAGGAAGCTTACAGATAGTTGAAAGTCCCTGTAATTAGTGAAAATCTGACAGCAAAGTTGGGCATTATTCTGAAACCAAGTCAAATTATGTAAATAATAGACCAACCCGCTGATATCCTTCTTTATAGGCTATTTTTTTTAAATTGGAGTTATTAACCTTGTACTATTTCTGAAGCTATCAAATTATTGCAGTGATTAGCCTTCTTATTCTTAATCTTTTTTCATAAAGGTCAAATTAATTTTGTGTATTATTAATGTTTTGTTATTCAGTTTTTTTAAGGGCTATATAATAAAATGATGATGATGATTCACACACTTCAAACAATTAAACCATCTGAGAAGATTGCTGAAGCTGCAACATTTGGGTTAAGAGCTTTCCAATGCATAATTGAAAACTAGAAAGCAGAAATGCAGCTGCATACCACTTAACCGTTAAAAAATATAGGGTGCATTACTGGAGCTCACGGCTTTATGCAAAAGCAAACAGAAAGGCTATCTTGTGATTAAAACTAAAAAGCCTGAATGAAATAACAGATCTGTGAAAGTATTTGGGAAAAAAATGCTTTATTTGTTGGGGAGCTTAAATATTGGGTAATTATATTGAAGTATAATTACCATGTTTCAGAATGACTGCCCCATCAGGGTAAGCAGAGGCCATCATCTCTAGGATCTATACCTTAACTCCACTGAGAATCTTTGGGATGAGCAAGAGTTGAGCTTCAGCAAAGGTCAGACTCTTTAATCACCCATCATCAACCCTTGAAAGTCTTAGTTGGATAAAATAACACTGGATATAGATACATGTAACACTGTAAAAGTGTCTAACAAAATTTGTGTGTGTGAACTTTTTGATTGGTAAAATTCACATCAAAACATAGACTGACAGAAAGACTCAGAAGTTAACGGATAAATCATATAATGATAAAGAAATGTCCTACAAAATCAGCTGAATAGTAAAAGCCACAAAACCGCATTTGAAATAGAAGCTGCTTCGTCTTTAATCAGTGTCTCCATACCAAACCAAGCTGAAGAAGCTGGACAAGAAGGCCGTCTCTGTTCTAAGAACTCCTCTAGAACCTCTGAAAAAAGATGGATTCTTCAGAAAATAAAGAACATTGAGAATCCTCTTCAGAAGACTGTTAAACAACAATTGTATCTTCAGATAACTTTCTCCTCCAGATTAGGTATAAAAAAGACCGCTATGGAAGATCCTTTCGGCCCAAAGCTGTTAAAAGCAACGACTCATTGAATTATAAAAACATGAGTTACTGCATTTGATTTCCTATTGGGATCAATAAAGTATATTGGAATTGAACTGAATTCAAGAGTATTAAAGAAAAGTTAAATGAAAGGAAAAATAGGAACAACCACAACCTCTGCAGAAGTGAGAAGCAATGCCCATTTAAATGTCATCAATGAAAGTTACAAACATGGGCTACATGTGGTCTCCACACAGACCTATCCAGGACATGAGGAACATGTCAGAAAATAATAAAAAGATCAAAAGTGTAATTAAAATCCCATAGGAAATATATGGTTGATTGGCAAAGTGAAGATATGGGACACCAGAACCGACAAAGACGACGAGCTAAAGGCCACCGTCAAAACGGGGCTATTTTTATACCTCAGCTGGGATCAAGCAATCGGCGAATATTCTGTCTGGTATATGGACATACCTTTCAATAGCCCAACATTTAAAGATTGAAAGTCCTTGTTATAGAATAATTTTTTTCAACCTAATTTTGAAGTTGTTTTGCTTTTGTTAGATTACCAGAAAATTTACCAAAATAGACACTGGAATCATACATTTCAAATAAGTTTCTTTTATAAAACCAAAAGAAAACAATAGCTCTGTGCATCAGCAGAAGGATATGAACAACAATGAAACATGGTGGAGGGAGGCATCATATGGTGGTATTTGTTTTTTTTTTTTTACATTAGAAATATAGTTAGAAGCATAAAACCACATCAGCATAGGTGTGATGAAAGATAATTATAAAATGTTATAATTAAAATATTCAATAAGAAAATTAAATTAGATACTGAGTGTAGTCATTTATGAAAACAAAATGCAAATTTCTAAGCACAAATCAATGTGGCAGCAAATCCCACTTTTATCTCAAACTCATCCTGCGTTGTAATTAATCAGGCAAGACATGAAAGAGAAGCAGAGAGTTGACAGACCAAAGAGGAAAGAGGAAGGCTCACCCACCTCAGACGTAGTCAAACAAACGCAGAGACCTCAGCTGTGCCATGCTGATGCAGGCCGAATGTCGTCAGAGACTAAGAGAGAAACACGAAGCAGGGGAAGAAGGGTAAGGAGGTCAACAAGGAAACATAAATATTTTATGTTTAAGGCCAGATTGACAAGCGAACAAAGGGTGCAGAGATTTTTACCTCCTTTTCCACCTAAAGAAATGTCACTCTGACTTCTGCCTTATTGTCCTTGATCCAGAAAAAAAGGGAAACAGAGAACAGTAGAAGAAGAAAAAAAGATCAAATAAGTTTTATTGAATTCATCAAAAGCATTCTTACAACTTGTTTAAGTATCATTTTCCTGAGGACGTAACATTTACATTCTAATCAGATCCTGTTAATGAGAGAAGTACACAATATATTGAATCAAAATTGCATTATATTACAATATCAGTTTGCCTAATCATGCAATCACAAAGAACTGCTTCCATCCAATATTTGGCCAGATGTATGGTGCATCTGAAAAATATTCACTGTGTTGCACAATTTCCTCATTCCTGCTAGACAGACCGCTACAGGAGACCGCTGCCATCCAACACCTATTAACATAGCTTAAAAAAGCCACATGAGTTACTACATTAATTTTCCCTTTGGTATTTTTAGTTGGATTAAATGTCATAGCTTTATCTAAATGGTATTTAGTGGAAAGCTCTGCACATCTTTTTGCATTGTGACAATGTGGAATTTTTTGAGAGGGATTTCTGCTAACTTATCACACCTAAAAAAAACTAAGAAATCACATTTACAGTATATAAAGTATTTACAGCCTTTGTTTGATGCTTTGTTGATCCAGCTTTGCACCAGTTCCAGCAGCAGGTCCTTTTGAATATGATGCCACAAGCCTATTAAGCCTATTAATGGACGTTTTGGACAGTATTTCTTTGGAGTACATCTCAACTTTTATGAGTTAGAATGGGAGACCTCTGTGCAAAGCCATTTTCAGATATTTTTAGAGACGTTTAATCCGAGTCTTAGCTCAGACTTCGCTACTCCAGGAAATCCACAGAGTGGTTCTGAAGCCACTCCTTTAAGATCTTGATGCCTTGAGTCATTGTGATTCTGACACGAGACCGATTCTGACACTGTCTCTGATCAAAAGGGCTGTGTAGCAGATTTTCATTCAGAATATCTCTGTACATGCCACAACAAAAGTTTCCTATAGCCTGACGCTACAACCACCATGCGTTACTGTAGGGGTGTTGTTGGCTTGGTGAAGGGCGATACCCGGCTTCTTCCAAACATGAAGCTTGGTATCCATACCAAAGATTTCAAAGAGAATTTTGTGTCTCATAGTCTGAGCGTCCTTAATTTTTTTGCAGCGAACTCCAGACATCCTGCAATATGCCTTTTATTAACAAATAACATTCTTCTATAGCGATTCTACTATACAGACCTCATTTGAGGATTGCTGTAGAAATTGTTGTCCTTCTGAAAGGTTCTCCTCTCTCCACAGAGGAACACCAAAAGCTCTAAAAGGCTGACTTTGGCGTTTCTTGGTTACTTCTCTGACTAAGGTCCTTTACGCTGGCCAGCTCTAGGAAGATTCCTGGGGGCTCCAAACTTCTTCCACTTTAATCTAAAAAATACTTTATTATTCCAAAAAAGGAAATTCAATTTTGGTACAGTGCGTCCAAGAAGACCAAAGCACAGACATTACACATGAAGGGACGCAGCGCTTACAGTTAAGAAAAAAAGGATGCAGTCTAATATTGAAAAAAAAGAAGAAAAAAAAACTCAGCACAAAAAGCAACACATACACAAAAACATCTTGCTGGGGGGATTGCGGCATTGGGTGCATATATTTATACCTTTGAGCATGCATGTTTATGTGCTCATAAAGAACTTTCCATGTGGCCATTGTCCTTAATATATGATGTAATGTTCATCACTTGGGCTGAAGAGCAGATTCACAATGTCCTCAGGCAAGGGAGGGGGCGGAACGTCGGTTTTACATAATTTCCAGAAGAGTTGAGTAGATAATGTCTGAAGGCCGCTCAGAGGGAGCCATATTTCAGATAGAGACAGATTTTTGGGATCAGACCGAATGATGATTTTTCAGTTAAGTAAGGGGATTTCTTGTAAGTTTGAGTAATAAGATTATTACCAAAGCATCTTGGCAACACAAAGTAAAAAATGAGTGGTGGGAACATGCAGTGAAGAAAGGGTGGGCTAAATTAAGCTTCAATGTATTGTGGAGGTTTTTTTTAAAAAGACCCGCCCTCTCCACTGCACGTGCAAGAGCACACACAAGCCCATTTCTTCTCGTGAACACCCTGTTTAAAATGTGCTGTTCTCATAGCTCATGCAAGATTACTGTGTCCACATACAGAGCGAACTATATAGTTGACTTTATAGCAAACTTAGTTAACTGGCCGTTTGGAGCGAGGGATTGCTGTTTGCTCCCTGTTGGTCACGTAACTCCTCATCCACTGCACCTGCCTCATCTTTGTTATTAGCCACTGTTACAGCAAATCCCATAGTGCTTTGCGAGGAGAGCTCTCAGTTCAAAGCATTCTGGGATATATCTGCCTCTTCTGAGGCCTTTCTTTTCTTGTCATACTCTTCAAAGACACTTTTACTCTTATGACCCTTAGACTATTTTCTAAGAACTGCGGTGAGAAAGGCGAGCTTTGATGAGCGTTTGAAACTTTAGCACACCACACATATGCGGCTGAAAGTGTGCATGCGCAGAAAAAGATAGTCAAAATCTGTGCATGATTTCAGCAGATGGCTGCTCACACTGAGCTTTGTTCTGCTGGAGGTTTCTTCCTGTTAAAAGGGAGTTTTCCCCTCCACTGCCGCTACATGCATGTTTAGTTTGAGGGATTGCAGAGTCAAAGAGGCAATGCAATCAGCTGGTTTTTCTAAGGCCCCGTCCACACGAAGTCAAAACAAACACGAAATGCTAATATTTTCCAGAACGTTTGTCGTAAAGACGGAGACGTAAAATAAATGTGATCGACCACACGAATGCATGAAAACGCTGCAAAATGTATGCCAGGCCTGTAAGTGGCGCTGTGGTGCCAAAGCAAAAATAGGTGAAAACAGGCAACGAAATGTTGGGCATGCGCAGTAATATTTATACAACAACCAAACCGGAAAACCGGAAAATGGCCCTGCGGGTCCATTTTCGTGGTTCAGTCAAATTCAGGTGCTGAACTATGTCGTCGATATTGCTCTGTTTTTCCTGGAGATATTCCAGAAGAAGAAGATTCTGTTGTAAGCCCGACAGCAGGGTGAGTAGCATTAGCAGCAACCATTCAACACAGTACGGCGCCATTGTTGTTGTGATACTGTGTCGCGCATGGGTGTTTAGAGGCGACGCTATGACGCATGCGTGTAAGAAAATAAATGCGGTTAGAGCTTAAAGATGGAAACGCGAAAACGGCGTTTCAAAATCTTCCCACTCTGAAGGCTTAAGAAAAAAAAGATCGTTTACAGACGCCCGAAACGCCGGCTTCGTATGGATGAGAGGCTGGTTTGGTGAAAAATTTGTGTGTTTAGGCCAGGGTTTGACTTCGTGTGGATGGGGCCTTAGATAGGAAATGTTTTTACTTATCCAACTGTGTTACTTGTATAAACCCACCAATCAAATATTGGCTTAAAAGACATTGAAAAGATGACATGATTTACATCCAAACCACGTCTATATTTAGTTGAAAAGTGAAGAGTGAAAAGCAGTAATTTTCAGGTCGTAGAAAATGTCTTTTCAGGTGGGAATAAATCTGATGCAGCCCACTTGTCAACTATTTCTGGACTAAATCCACACTATGAAGGATCAAACAGATTTAGCCTAAAAAGTAACGTCTAAATGAACTCTGGTGTTTGGGGGGAATGAATTGAATTGAATTGAACAAAACTTTTCCCTGTGCGAGTCTCTCCAGGTTGGATTTATTTTCTGCAACATAAAGGCATAGCATACAAATGTTAATTTCTTGGAATGAAGCAGTCTTTCTTAACAGCATTCCTCATTTCTTATTTTTTTTTACTATTTAACAAATCCAAAAACACTCAACAAATAAATCAAACACTGCAGCTCTCATTTAGGTATTTAAATGTTGCCCAAACATGTTTGAGCAGTGTTGACTTGAATGGACTCCTTGCAACAAGTTGGAGGAAAATTAACAATTTTACTTTCTTAGAGAAATGGATAAGAAAAACATTTCTCATGATTTTCATCTCCTGTGTCATCAATACAACTTAACTTAATCCATTTAAAATCGGAGACTCCAGTCTCCTTTCTCTTGTGCATGCTTTTAACTTTTGTTTATGCCTCTTTTATTTTCTAATTTCAGTCAAAGAAATAAATACAACTACCTGGAATTACAAGACTCAAAAATATGTTTATATAAGGAAAATTTCTTCATTAAAATATTTTACCCCCAACAGATTCTGCTTTTGCTTGATCTGTCAATTTATATTCTGTAAATCATAAAAATTAAACTAATATTCTGAGCAAAAACTTACAAAACCATAATAAAAAAAAAAAAATCCACATTTTATGATTATGTTTGTCTGATATTAGACTTAATCTGATCATCTGAAACATTTAAGCGTGACTTACAAGCAAAAACAAGAAACGTAAAGGGGAAACACATTTTCAGATCATTGTCCATTTCAACATAAAGACTTAACTCTTCACTGGGCAAGAATCAGAAAGGCAACAAATAATTACAGAATTTATTGAAAATATCAAGACAGTGACTTCAAATTTAAATGATAAAAGTAAACATCCACATGCTTTATGGACCTTGAAGAGGTCACGACTGATTTTGTTTTTCCAAGCTTTAAAGCTGGTATGTTGCAGCCCCAGAGGGCAATATTTAGCCTTGGAAAAAGTCTTAGATGATGACCGAGCCAGAGCCAAACACTTGTTTAGTATATTGGGCCCCTGAGGCATTGCCATCATCCTTAAACTATCTGAGCTGCATAAAAACAAAAAACAAAAAAACAAACAAAAAAAAAAAAACAGAAAAAAGTTTTTGTCCTGGGAAAGGAGGTAGTCTGCAGCCAAGAACGCGGTCGATTATCTGAACCCTGAATGTGCCTTGAAGCCTGGCACAATGCCCGGGTTGTTCCAGTTACAGTTTCTGTGGGAAAACGTCCTTCCTTTGGCAGCCATGATTACCTGTGCTTCTTATTTTCACTCTCGATCCTTTATTTTCCAATGCAGAAGTCTTTGAAGATGATATCCAGAATCTCCTCTGCTCCGACTCGTCCTGTGATCCTTCCCAGTCCGGTGAGCGCTAACCGGATGCCCTCAGCTGCCAGAGCGAGGTCATAGTCACGGTACCGTCCATACTGAGCCAGGGAAGCCACACACTGCTGCAAGTGGGCCCTGTGGCGGGCCTGGGTCAGGGTAGGCGCTCCAGAGAGAGGGTCACCACACCTACAGAGGAAGTAAGGGAAATAATGAGCCAGGGCAATAAAACCAAAAGTACTTTTTGTGCTTCACTTTGCTAAAAAAACAGACTAAAAGCAACAAATATTGGAGTTAAAGTCATAAAACTTCATCAGCAGGAGGATGAAAAAAGAGCATCTATGAAAAGCACAACTGTCACAACTGTCTTAGAAATAGACTTTAGGCTTTAGACAGATTTTATTTGTCATTTTGTTTACACAAGTGTAAAACAAAGAGGAGTTTCGTTTGGAAAGAGCTCACTGGATATTTCATCTTTTAAAAGTGCAGCCTTAAAAAATTGTAAAAATGACTGTAAATTTACAGTTCTAACAATTTATTTTTTTTAATATATATATAAATAATGATAAAAAATAATAATAAATGTAATAATAAAATACAATACAATAACCCATTCTACAAGACATTCAACAGTCTAATGGCGGTGGGGAAGAAACTGTTGTGGAATCTGCTAAACCTGCATCCAATGCTTCGAAGTCTCTTCCTAAATAAAAATAAATACTTGTCAAAGAAAACACAAGTGCTGATTTTAAGTGAAATTCCTAACAGCTACAATCAACAGTTTCTGATATCTTGCACATTCCTTTCCAGCTCTTTAAAAGGGATTTGACCCTCTTAACTCTGCAGAATTGTTGTAATTTTCCTCCACCACACTCTTTTGTTGATATGATCTTATTTTCCTGACATGCAGTGTTACTTTAACAACAGATGTAATGGGACATGCGCTTTCCAATGGTTTACATCTTAGTCGTTATTGCCAAGTGTCTTTCTTAAAGTGGATGAATGAACATGGACCTTAACTGAGGCAACTAAAGCCTCTAGTTGTTGTTCTGGGGTCTTTTGTGACCTTTTGAATGAATCGTTAATGTGCTCTTATAATGATTTTGGTCAGAGGAGCACAGTTGAGAAGGTTAACCATTGTTGCATGCTTTCTCCATCTATGAATGAAGGTTCTCAATATGGTCACTGGAGTTTCACAGCTTTACAAATGGCTTAGTTACATCCCAATGACTATCATGTATTCCTGAATTTCTCTGGACCATGTTGTGAAGTCCAGCTGTTTTTGTGGTTCGACGTGGCAGTAATCATGCTTGGTTGTGGATACAAAAAGTAAACTAAGTTCACTTTTTCACACATGACTTGGATTTTTTTCTTTCTTAATAAAAACCTTAATTTGAAACCTACAATTTGTGTTTTCTTTCATTGTCGCTAACTCAACTCTAAATTTGTTATATGTCCTGAAAATTTTTACGTGTGACAAACATGCAAAAAGAAAGAAAGAAAAAAACAGATAACACATGTGTGGAAAAACAAGGTACATTAATATAGTGGTTTTATACTGTAGATTACGAAGTAATTTTCAAACTTTCAAATAGGCCTTGCTTTCAAAATCAAAACAAAATATGTTGATAAAAACTTACATTGATTTGATGCTGCTTTGCAGCAAAGTGAGGAAATCCTTCAGTCCCTCATTGGTTTGACAGGAGATCAGGCACACAGGTGGGAGACCAGAGACCCCTCTCAGCCCCCGATTTAGCTTCTCTCTTTGAGCCTCAGGTAGCAGATCCGTCTTATTTAGGACGAGTAGACACATGCCTGCAATATCACATTATAACCCCAAACCTATTAGTGGTCTGTTATTCTATTTGATGTGACAGACACAAAAACGGTAAAGAGAAAGAGACACAGCACATAGTTTTAACATTATTTACAATGGGAACTGAGTAGTGTGAAAAGCATTAATATTTGATCAACTTTCATCTTAAACATCTAAATAAAATCCAGTTCTGTTAGTGCCTTCAATAATCACCTTGTTAGGAAAAAAGAGATCATCCGTTTGTAATTGAATGTCAGTCTAAATCCAGGTGCTCTGTGAAGGCCTCAGATGTTTGTTGAAGAGGATTAGAGAACAAACAGCCTCATGCAGACCAGACTTGGATATATTTTTACTCAAAGAAAATGGCAAAAGCAGCCACCAAAATACGCATAGTAGTTAAGCTTTGCTCAGATAAGAATAGAGAACTGATAATACAGTAAGTAATGAGTAATGAAGCAAAATGATTCAGACTAATGTAATTTTTGACCATGATGTAATTCTATAGGTAACATGTAAAACAAATGCCAGGTTTTCTTTATATGGAATACCAAGAGCTATGAGTAAAAATACACCACATCCTAATTATCAACATAAAACCTTTACTAACAGTATCACTGACACTACTTAAAGCAGGTAACATATACATTAAGGGTGTGCAAAATAATCGTAAAATCGATGAATCGTGATTCTAATTTTTGTGATCTACTGCATCGATTCTTGAAGGCAAGAATCGATTATTTAAAAAAAAAATGAACAAATAAAATACATTAATGGTTGGCGCACATCAATCAAACCAATCGGAATACAACTTCCAGTCCAGCAGATGTCGCTGCGGATGTGTTGAGGCCTGCTACTTTGTGTCACAAGCATGTCCGGCCGCGGGATACCGAGACGAGTCATTCGTAAACAAAATATGGAGGAGACTGAGAAAATTCGCCCCCCGGCTCCAACACATTTCAAGTCAGATGCTTGGATGCATTTTGGCTTTAAAAACAAAGAAGGTAAAAACGAAATTGATATGATGCACGTAATTTGCAAAAGGGGAAATGTCATACATTTGAATGTTTTCATTTAATTGGTTTAAAAGACCAGTGAGGCCATGTAAACGGCACTGATTATCCTCATTTTGTTATTTTAAGTTTGATGAATCCTAAGATCTTTTTGTCAGTGTGTCCACGCCAGTAATAGTAATATTTCTGTCCAGTATTTGTTTTCATGGCATCACCTCCAAAAGTCATTTCAATAAATACAGCTATGTATGAATTTAGTTGCTTTCAGTCAGCTGTATCTTTTTCTTAATGTGTTCAGTGAAAAATATCGCAATGCATCGCAATATTTCAAGTATCGTGATACATCGTGATAGAATCGCATCGTGGCATGTGAATCGTGATTCGAATCGAATCGTGACTTCTTTGCCTAATATACATGTTAGAACACTACAGGTGTGAAAGTTACTCTTGGTTTGTATAGACGCCTCAATTGGACTCTAGTTATAGTAGAATTATTTCAAAGTAATATTACTCAGGTAGACGTAATAGATATTTTTTTATTTTAATTAATTTTTTTAGGTAAAAAACACTAGTTGCAACCAAACTCTGATGAAGACTAAGGAACAGAGCATACAGGTCAGGGATAAAGTTGGGGAGAAGTTTACAGGTTTGAAATCAAAACCTCAAGCTTGGAACGTCCCACAGCATCATATGTTCAATCCATGATCAGAACGATGGCGAGATTATTACACAGCCTTTAACCTACCCTCAATCTACCAAGACAAGGCTGCCTTTCTAAACAAGGACAGTGTTAATGAGGAGAGCAGCCAAGAGGCCTATGGTTACTGAGGGTCCTGTAGAACTGGTCCTGGTCCCACTTATGGCCCCCTTTACTGAATATTATATATATATAAAAAAAATAAATAAATGTGTTTCTTTAAAGATATTTTTAACTATAATTCCAAAATTAAGGTAATAGCATCAGTGGTATTGAGATAAAATCATTGTTTTTATCTGCTAAATATAATTTTAAACAAAACTAAGAAAATATTATTATTTGTCACGGCTGAATTCATCAGTTCTACTTAAGCTCCAATTATGATTAGATTAAAACTGGTCCTTTTCATTTAAAATACCTTCAAAATATGTAATATTCCTTCAATAGGAATTTACATTGACATAATATTCCAAAGAATAACTTTATTTTATCTAAAATTAAAACTTTCAACCTCAAAACACAAATTTTCAATAAAAAAAAAACATAAATTTTTGATAAAACTAAATAACGGGAATGGCTCTTTTGTTCTCTAAACATATTTTAAATGATAAACTAATTCCCTATTTTTTATTTCATGCTTTTCTTTGCCCCCGTGAAAACATGCTGCCCCCTTCCTGCCCCCCAGTATAAATGATCTAAACCCGCCACTGAACTGAAAGAACTGTAGAGATCTAAAGCTTCGATGGGAGAGTCTCTGACAGCTTATTTCTCATGAACCTTGTTGTTATAAATGGGAGAGAGGAAAGCCTCAAGGAGTCCTGTTTACTAAGTGTAACAAGTTATAATGAGGGATATAGAAACATGTAGAAGGAAACGATGTGCGGATGTAAGTTCATCATGACCATACCCATACAGGCTAACCAACAAAACAATGGTTTTGAGGAAATAATATCCAGGCGTTAGAATGGCCTAGTTAAACTAGAGATATAAATTCAAATAGGAAGGTTTTGCAGAGCACATAATTTGCTTTTCTTAGATGCTCTCTATCAAATCAGACTGAGACTTTAGTCATTTCTTAAAGCAGAAGAAGGTTATTTTAGTCCCAAATCAAGGAAAGCTGAAAGAGACGTACATTTTGTCTATGTTCTGCCTTCAATTTAACTAGGCTTCTCTAAATGCAGGAAACTGGTTTTAACTTACTGACTCAGGACTAAGGACTTGTAGTATTACAGAACAATGGCTGCTCAGTATTTACTGGCCCTAACCTAAGACGTTTGCTAGTTCAGTACTAAAAGTTTGGTTTTACCTTGACATACTCAGACCCCAGAGATTATTTACTTACGTAATAAACACAAACTCGTGGTCATAAAGTCACCTGATCTCTTACATAACTCTTCTTCTCTTTAATCGTGTATATAATTCATTTCAAAGTCACTTCCATCGTCATATTTTTAAATAAAAAACACAAAAGCAACATTAACTTTAACAGATTGGATAAAAAAAGGTCAAACTATTCCCTCATGAGGTCCTAATGAAATACCTGTTTCAGTATTTTCCTGGGAGGACAGGACGCTCCTCAAGTGGTTCAGGAGAAGCGCAGAAGCTTGATGCTCCTCAGAGGGGAGGAGCGTGGAGTCAACCACCAGCAGAGTCAGATCAGCCTGCTGCACCCTAAAAAAAAACACAAACAGCATTAGTCGACCCTGCTTCAGGTTTCTGATCTGAACAAAATAATAAGTGAAGTTAACTCTTTGTTTGGCTTTTTTCCTAGATTCTCAAGGTTAAACCTTGAGATATCATCTCTCAGAATAACTTTATCTTTAGTCAAGGGAACCCATCACTGCCACAGTGGACTCTTTCTTTATGATCTGGAAATAAATTCTGCCAATTCGGAAACCAAAGTATTTTAGATAAAGTGAACAAAACCCAAAGATCTCTTCCAAATATCCTTGGCATACTATTGATTTAGTGAAGATAACAACTAAATCCAATGCTGAAAATGTTCAAAATGTGAAGATTTAATGACACCTAGATACCTTTTATCCTCTGAATATCTGTCGTTATCTCTAAATAATCTTTTTTTTTTTTTTCTGACATTATTCTAAGTCTGAATCCGACTAAGCACATCAGCAACCTATTCTAACTGCGGCAGGCTGAGGTCTGCTACTCGAAATTAACAGAAGCAGACTGTTGTTAAGAAGTCTAATCAGCCTGTTGTGATCCAGTTGTGCCAAATGTTTTTGTTAGCATTAAATGCTTTTATAAGACACATCTTGTTTTTCTTCAGTAACTCTTAATAAATAGGTATGTAAAGTGCTCTGAACTAAACCAAAATGCCTCAAATCTGCACCAACCAGAAGTTTTGAGTTTAAAGTATAGCATTAGGAAGATAAAACAGCTGCCAGTCTAAGGGATGTTTAGACAAGCAGAAGGCCGGTTTTAAGAGAGCAGAACCCCAGCAGGGGATCTGGTAGTGTCTCAGAGAACATAAACAACTGAATCTGACCCACAGAGAGGACGAGAAACGTTCTTGTTTTGATGAGGTGATTCTGGTGTTAGAAGATGGCAAAGCAAAGCCAACTCAGAAATTAAAATTACTTTTCTTTTGATTCTCACACAAAACTTCTAACTCAAAATTAGACAGGAAGCCTTAAACAAATAAAAGTTAAGATAATATTCTTAAAGCCTTCTGCTATATGTTTGTTTGGATGTTTATTTTTACTCCCCATGTGATTAACAAAGAGACAATATAGTGATGACCTTAGTAATTTAATAAATTAAAATAAAAAAATATATATACTGTATATATTGAATCTATTTGCTTCTATGTAAAGCAAGAGCAGCATACTTCTCCTCATTAATAGAGGAGAATAAGAATAATCCTAGATTTCTTTTTAATACAGTTGCCAAACTCACCCAGAGCCATAGCTCTGTTGAACCGTCCATTCCACCTGCTCTTAGCAGCAATGATTTTATGGGATTCTTTATAAATAAGATTGATCTTATTAAAAATAAGATCATAAGCACTCCTCTATCCGCGATTGTACCTGAGGTAGTCATGGAATCTGAACCGGGTTTAGACTGCTTTGATCCAGTTGAACTCTCTGAATTAGCAAAATTATTGTCTTCATCTAAGCCTTCAACTTGTATGTTAGATCCAGTTCCAACCAGGTTATTTAAGGAGGTATTCCCTTTGATCTCCTCCTCCATTTTAGATGTGATTAATTTATCTCTGTTACAGGGATATGTACCTAAAGCTTTTAAGGTTGCTGTAATTAAACCTCTGCTTAAAAAAACGTCTCTTGACCCAGATGACTTGGTCAATTATAGACCTATATCCAATCTTCCTTTCTTATCCAAAATTCTTGAGAAAGTAGTTGCCAAACAAGTTTGCGATCACTTCCACCATAATGAACTTTTTGAAGAGTTTCAGTCTGGCTTTAGAGCTCATCATAGCACTGAAACAGCTCTGGTGAAAGTCACTAATGATATTCTCATGGCCTCAGATAATGGACTTGTATCTGTGCTCGTCCTGTTGGATCTTAGTGCTGCATTTGATACAGTTGACCATAATATTATTTTAGAAAGACTTGAATATTTTGTTGGAATTAAAGGAACAGCACTAGACTGGTTTAAATCTTATCTATCTGATCGAATTCAGTTTGTTCATGTTAATGATAGATCTTCAACACGCTCAAAGGTTACCTGTGGAGTACCACAGGGATCAGTGCTAGGACCAATTCTCTTTACTTTATACATGCTCCCAATTGGTAGAATTATTAGACAGCATGGGATTAATTTCCACTGTTATGCTGATGATACCCAGCTATATCTGTCTATAAATCCAGGTGAAGCTAACCCATTACATAGATTACAGGCATGTCTTGAAGACATAAAAACCTGGATGACTCTTAACTTTCTGCTTCTGAATGCAGACAAAACAGAAGTTATAGTCTTTGGACCAGAGTCTCTGAAAAAGAAACTGATTAGCCAGTCACTTCATTTGGATGGGATTAAACTGATTTCAGATAATAAAGTAAAAAATCTTAGTGTTATTTTTGATCAGGACCTGTCATTTAAATCCCATATCAAAGAGGTTTCTAGAATTTCTTTCTTTCATCTGAGGAATATTGCAAAAATTAGAAATATCCTGTCCAGGGGTGATGCTGAGAAACTAGTCCATGCATTTGTTACTTCAAGGCTGGACTATTGTAATTCTTTACTATCAGGAAGTCCACAAACGGTAGTTAAAAGCCTTCAGCTGATCCAAAATGCTGCAGCCAGAGTTCTAATGAAAATTAAAAAGAGAGATCATATCTCGCCTATCCTGGCTTCTCTTCATTGGCTTCCTGTTAAATCGAGAATAGAATTTAAAATCCTCCTTCTCACATATAAAGCCTTAAATGGCCAAGCTCCATCTTATATCAGAGATCTGATTGTTCCTTATGTTCCTAACAGAGCACTTCGCTCTCAATCTGCAGGTTTACCAGTGGTTCCTAGAATTTCTAAAAGTAGAATGGGAGGCAGATCTTTTAGTTATCAGGCTCCTCTCCTGTGGAACCAACTACCAGTTTTAGTCCGTGAGGCAGACACCCTGTCTACTTTTAAGGCTAGGCTTAAAACTTTCCTTTTTGATAAAGCTTATAGTTAGGGTGGCTCAGGTTATCCTGAGCTATCTCTATAGTTATGCTGCTATAGGCTTAGACTTTTGGAGGACATAGGGACCCCCATTTCATCATTCTGCTTCATTCTCTCTCTGTTCTCCTATTCTGCAGAATCTGTTAGTTCAATCTCTAACCTTCTGCTCTCTCTGCTTTTCCTCAGAGTAGCTTTGCCTCGTCTGTTCCTGTTTGGCTGTGACGTCATCCTGGAAAGAAACATCAGCTGTGCTGCTTCTATCAACACCCTTGTTTATAGATGCTGGAGATCGGCCTGTTTTCCAGTGTGGTCCTGTTTCTCTGACCGTGACTGAGTGGATGTGCTCTCTTCGTCCTCTGGCATGGGAGCTGCCTTGGAGCTCGTCTGCCTGGCTGTGTGTTTCCTGGACGGGGCCGCCTTTTACAGCTGCTTTTTGTATCTCTGCTTCTGTCTCCTTGAACCCCAGTCGGCCTCGGCAGATGGCCGCTCACACTGAGTCTGGTTCTGCTGGAGGTTTCTTCCTGTTAAAAGGGAGTTTTTCCTCTCCACTGTCGCTACAAGCATGCTTAGTGTGGGGGATTGTATTTGAGTCAATGAGTCAATGCAATCAACTGGTTTTCCTTAGATAGAAAACTTTGTATCAATTTGACTGTATGATCTGGTTGAACTGTAAAGTGCCTTGAGATGACATGTGTTGTGAATTTGGCGCTATATAAATAAACTGAATTGAATTGAATTGAATTTGCATGAAAATATTTATCTTATGCAAATTAGTATGTATATATATATATTTCTATATAATAGCTTTTGAGCATTTCAGTTATATCCATTTTATTTGCCGAGCGGAAAATCTGACAAAAGAAATGTGTCTTAACCTTAAATCCCAAACTGAAAGCACCCTAAAACCAAACCCTCCTGCAGGAACAAAGATGGATCTTAAATCTGAATTAATGAATCTGTTTTATGTTGTTTTAGTCTCACAAATAAAAGGTTTTCCTATACAGCTTTTATTTGCATTGTAAATGCTTTAATGTTTCTACCTCATTGATAAACACAATTTATTTTGCTTTATAATATGGTTTTATTTAAATACTTTAAATCCCTTTATTCTTTATGTACCAACAAACTATTTTAGACTGTGCTTCAATGATCACAGCTGTCATCTTAGTTGTTTTGTTTCATATTAGGGGAGCAGCAGCTTCTCATTGTATTGCTCCACTTCATGTTTTTTCAAAAGGATTTTTTTCAAAGACATGACATATTAAATAAGGGAGTTTATACTACCGTATATGCTGCTTAAAGAAACAATAGCAGCGATACCCTTTAATTCATTATGCTGACAGGAATCTACTTGAAAAACGCTGCCTTGCATCCATCCAAGTTTAAGGTAGCAGCAGGAGCGGCGGCGGATGCTTGTACTCGCCATGTCCTTCCTGTAGTGATCTGGGTCATGAGCTCCAGTCCTGCTCACTGCACACCGGTTTCCTATAGAACGCACAGTTCCCACCCTTCCTATAGAGCAACCTACCAGGAGTAGGTTTAGTCTGACATCTGTTCCTTTTTTTTTTTTTTTTTTTTTAATATTGATATATGGACTTACACAATAGTCTCCCATTAGAATAAAACAAAAGAGAGAATTTGCTGATCAATTTTACTCTTTTAATATTTATACTCAATACTCCATTTCTATTATTCCACTACAACATTCATAGCCTTAGAACAGTAAAACCATAAAATATCAAAGTCTGATGCTGATTCAACAAAAGTGTGAAAATAATTAAATGATTAAATCACCTTATAATTAATGTCAATCCCTTCAGAACCTTGTGTAAAGTCAAAATTCCAACTTTGAATAAAAAACTTTGGGTTTAATATATAGGATATTTTTGGCACAGGAAACATAACCAGAAATGCCAACAGGGATTAAAATTAAGGGATTAGGATTAAAATGATCTAGTTTGGCCTTCATCTCAGGAATCTGACAGGAAGAAATGCAAAAAAAAAAAAAAAAAAGGGAAAATTTACTACCGGTATAAATGCTCTAAAAAGCTGCATTGAGGAGAACTAAAGGCCAGTGTTAAATGTTTTTCTGGTTTATAAATTTAACTCATAACTATAATTTTGATTATGAACAATACTGACTAACATTTTACTAACATACCTACACAGGATACAAAACAAAAAAATCTATTATAATGTTTTTAATTTTAGCTCGCACCATGCTTCATTTTAATCAGGCTTTAATGAGAGTGGAGATCCTGCAATAACATTTGTTTAGTTTTAACATCGCTATTTTAATATATATTATCAACAAAAAGTGAATGCTGAGCCCTGCAGCACTTTAAATCTTTTTTTATTGCTTTCTTTTCTTTGATTTAGTGCTTTATTGTAGCGGATGGGATTTTCTGCCTGCCAGAAACACAAGTAGCTTGGGAAACACTTGACATGTAAAAAAAATATGATTGAAACATCTTAAAAAGTGTTGATTTATTTGTACTCAAATATCCTTACTTTTAGCATATAATATAAATAGAGCAAATAGTTCTTCAGATCAGATTATCTATATTATTTTGCATACCCTACCAAAGTCATTATATAAGCACAAATAATTTTACTTGAATGTCCATCCTGTAGCATTGATGACAAATGCACCAAGTATTTTTCCTTGAAATAAATACTTCACACTGTTAACAGTTAATCATTAAAAGCATACATCTAATCTGTCAGCAACACTTTAAAAAAAAACCTCTTTAGACCGACCCAACAATGAGGAAAGGTGGCTTTTCATTACGCAACCTCCTGAGTGCGTTTGTCCTGTGTATTTATAACTGTCTCAGCACTTGTATAAACTTTGGCTGCTACACAGACATTACAGAAAAGACTTATTTCTTCCTTTCTTTGTTTTCCAGCACATGCTTCATTGGTCTGAACTAATTTGTTCTGTTAAATTACACACGTGCAGATTTGCTGAGGCAGCGCTCTTAGTCTAATATTATTATCATTATATAGAGCTATCCTGTTTATGCTGTTAAACAATTTCAATATCAGATGACTGCATTGTCAATTCAGAAAAAGTTGTCGCTCTGCTTCTTACCTCTCTCGAGCCCGACGTACGCCCTCCTGCTCCACCAGGTCTGGGCTTTCTCTGAGGCCTGCTGTGTCGCTTAGCAGGACAGGGAAGCCCCCGATGTCCAGTGCTGTCTCCACTACGTCTCTGGTGGTACCAGCAATGGGAGAAACAATGGCTGCAGGTCTCTGGCCTGAATTTATGAATACAAACAAAAAAAGCCACTAAAATCTTTCTGTTGTTAACTATCATAAAAATTAAACTCTGTCTCAAATAATGATTCATTTTTGCTCCCTGCTCAGCAAATTCAAACTTACTTCAAGTGATATTTTCCACATAAAAGGTAACTAGCATTTTTTAAATTTATATTAAATATGAATAATTCAGTCATTAAATAATCGTTAACTGAAGTATAGAGACTGTATAACGCGCCTTTAGCTGACAGAGCTACCCAATTAGAGCAGCAATTATACGAAAATTGTAAAAACAAATATGTAAATATTTTGCATTTAATATAACATATTTTTTTTTCTCTCATTATATTCTATCCAGAACTCTTTAAGTGGAAATATTTCAGTTTCATCTGGTTTAATTTTGTAAAAAGTCTTAATAAAAAAAATAATCGACAGATTATTCGATTTACAAAATAATCATTAGTGCAGCCCTAGTCTAGGGTTAGTTTAATAGGTGAATAAATGTGTTGCACAACTGCAAAGTCATGTAACTCAAGTAACAGATAAATAAAATGTTTTCAGTACCAGCAATCACATATGGATCAGATCAGAAAGAACTGAGCGGAAATGTTGAGAATAAAAATCAAATCCAGTCTAATCTGAATCAATACCCAGCCCTACCAACAATCATAACAAAAATAATAACATATACAAGCAAACAAGCAAGAGGTTAAGTTGAGAGACAGATTCCCCTTCCAGCAGGATTATGAGATTAAACACAGAGTCAGAGCTACAATGGAGTCAATTAAATAAAAGGCCTTATTTAATTTATTCAAACAGTTTAAGACAAACTGCTTCCAGCTTGTGATGAATATAAATTTGTGATAAATATAAAGAACTGGTAGAGACACCTTAAAAGAATTGCAGTAAAGTTTTGCTTTATTTGTGAACAATGACTAAATCCATGTTATATTTTCATTTAACCTGGTGGTTATGTGCTACTCTTGGTTGATCTACCACATACATTTCCAACTGAATGGGTTTGTGGTTGTAACATTAGAAAACATTTAGAAAAGCTAAAAAGTTTTTACAAAGACACTTTACAGGGAAACTATGATTGGATCATGATAACCAGTTAATGTAATGATGTTTCATCAATATTGGTGTGAAAGTGTATCATCAACCAGATCAGATACTTTTAAGTTTGTCAGAGAAAGGTTTCTGCCCCGCCCTTTTAAGAAATCCAAACGTTGCAAAGGGATCCCGCTACTCTGCTGCACACACATGATTACCATCACATCGTCCTGACCCCCGAATTCTCCAACTTTTCGATTCGACCCCTTTTCAACCCACATGGCCTGAAAAGCCTCCTGGAAACGTCTAACATTAAACACTTTCCAGAGATCCTGTTGGGTTTATGGTTTAAGAAGTAAAATCTGTTTATGTAAGATAATGGAAACAGTCTGTGGTCTTCAGATGACGCTGTTTGCTTAATAAACTCAAGGTAACAAACCATAGAGCTTTATACGACATATCTATGCTTCGCTTTTGTCCACCTACAATTAAATGGTTTTGAGATCGGGTGGCAAAGGCATTCACTAATCGTTTTTATATAATTGCAATCAAGTCTACTAATCACCACTAAACTGAAAACAGTGATATTGACTGATAGCCAGGACGATGCACCAACAATAAGTGTGTAAAATAATAAATGTGCTTCTTAAAGAAAGAGCTGAATCTTTTTTTTTCTTGAGTCTTATTTTGTTTGCCTAAATCTAAAAAGTACTGTTTCCTTTGTCCTTCAAGTCATCTATGTCCTCAAGTTAGGTAAAAATTTCTGAAAACACCCCACCACTCCACTTTAAAAAAAATTGCTCAAAATCGCTCATGGCAGCTTACTGTACTTTCCAAAAGAAGATTTATGATTTTTCCACTATGTCAGACTCACCACCGGTAGGTAAAAATGGGGACGAGCACGTACGACGGCCTTATGTAAACATATCGCCAGAATGATTGACAGTTAGGAGGACCACTTATTTTGATGATCCACCCGGAAAAAGAACCTCCACTATACCTTTAGGTCAAGATTAAAAATATATTTATTTTTCTTGGTCTTTGAAGCACTTTATAGACCTCAAAAATGAATGTAACTGGAATGTGACTGGGGTATATGTTGTCCTCTCACTTTTCCAGCTAATTTCTTAATAGATTGTTTACAATTTTGAGCCAATATATGTGATGCAGTAACTAATGTGATGCTGATTGGTCAGCCAAGGTCTATTACGTACATAAGCCATAGGGGCAGTCCCTTCATCATAAACTGTAACCCAGGAATTAATCAAATTCTGCAACAATTAAATGATTTTCAAATATTTCAATTAAGAGTTTTCACTTAGTTATCTGTATCTAGTCTAGTCTTATAAAGGATTGTGGCACATTTTTAACTTCAGACTCATGTACGTGTTAAATTAAAGAGTATGACAACATCAATTATAAGTAATGGTCCAAAACGATAAAACCAGGAACAACACATAAAATAATCTTTTTAAGAGTCTTTGTCTTATGCAATATTTATTAGAAAACGTGCTTCTCTTGGACGTGAACAAAAGAGACAACAAACCAGAACGAGACAGGATAACCGGATTATTATTCTATTAGAGAGCCCCTGCCAAGCTCCTGTTCCGGAGGGTTTAAATAAACCGTTTCTAAATGACTCCAGGAAAATATATCCAAAACAAAAGTAATATTCAAACAATAAACTTCTCAGGTTGACACCATGTTGTTTAGACAGTTGGAAACTGGAGTAAAGGTGATTTCATAGAAGACTTTGAAGTTACGAAATTAATTTACATATTTATATCTGTAGTTATCCAGTTAGCAAAGTTGGACCAGTCAGCCATAAGCTGAAATCCAATTTGGCTGAAGTATAAGTCTGTGGACATCAATTTTTACATCAACTTTTATAGTCTTTCTAACTTGAACAATAACCGGAAAACAGTTTTATCACCAGCTTTTGATAAATTGCTGTAAATTTTTTTCAGTTTTCACTGAACTTCCTGAAATCTATTTCTACTTTCAGTGATCATTCACATAGAGATTATATTAATCTGCAAAGGAAATATATCCGTCTTTGTTTTATTGTACGGGCCTCAGTATCAGCCCTCTCTGAATCCACAAAGCCTTAACCTTTGATAGATGATACCTGTTCTCCCTAATAAATCATCCATAATGAACAATAAGTCTGTGTTTATTTTACGGCTGGCTTATTCATTCATCATGTGGGTGCCTGCATGCATTCTGATTGTCTCTGCTCTTACAGAGTGTGTTGAGGAGGCTACTTTTCCCTGCGTTGGTGGCACCGGCGATCACCACATGGACTCCACTGCGAAGTCTCTCCCCTCGCCTCTCATCCTTTAGATGCTGTCCAATCTCTGCTTGCAGATCATGCACTGAGATGTCCACTAATGAAGGAGAAAAACTGTCAGAGAAAGATACTGAAAGGGTTTACTATCACTATAATGCTTTAAATTTTTATTTGTTAAAAAAAAATATGTTTTTTTTCTGATGCCTGGCACCCTTTGAGTTAAATAGACCCTTAGAAAAAGTGTACGGAATACATATTCATCCAATTACTATCTGTAAATATTCAATTTACTCAGGTTCTATGCTTTGAACCCATAACTTCGCCTCGTTTAACCCAGATGCAGCACAGTTTCCCCTTCACTAACAGGGATGGCACTCAGAGTTGGTGGGATTGATGCTGAAGAGTCGGAGCAACAATCTTTAAATTTAACCGCTGAGGTTTTCCACTTATACATACCTTGTTCCAAGACTCCTTCCTCAATGAGCTCATCCTCGCTGAAGTCTATGAAGGCTTCGACGTGTGCTAAACACTGTGATAAAAAGACGAGGCAGAAGTTGTCTGCATCCAGCTTGGAAGGACAATTCATTTTACCCAAATCAACAGAAAATATATTTTCTAAAAACATAATATTCCTGTTGGTTAAATTTAATTCATTTATGTGGTTTGAGGGAATTAATAGAGCATTACTGGTACTATATATATATATATATATATATATATATATATATATATATATATATATATATATATATATATATATATATATATAGAGAGAGAGAGAGAGAGAGAGAGAGAGAGAGAGAGAGAGAGAGAGAGAGAGAGAGAGAGAGAGAGAGCACATACACATATATGAATAAATGTCATCTTGCCATGATAAATAGTAGGGCTTGAACTAACGATTATTTTGCAATTCGATTAATCTGTTGAATATTTTTTCAATTAATCAGTTAATAATCAGATATAAAAAAGATTCCTTACAGAAGATGTTTTTTTTTTTAACAAAACCAGGTGAAACAAAAGCTTTTCCACTTGAGGAGTTATGTTAGAGCATATTGACAGACAATCGATAATCGATTAATCGTGATTAATGCGATTGTTGCTGATTGATTTATCCAACTGTTTCCCTCCCTAGTAAATAGAGTAAAACACAGAAACAAAATATGTAAAACCATTTCTTTGGAAACGTCTGTATGTAACCAAAGTGAGTTACTAGCATAGCACGTCATTAAGTCATAGTACAGAACTGAGCCTTATTAGGAAGTTCTGTTACAGTGATGTTGAACAAGATATTTTGTGGTAAGTTTTAAAACCCAGACTAAAGCTTTTCAAACTCATGTACAATGTAATAAAAAGAGCAACTGTAAAATAAAACTCAAAACATAAGTATTAGGATTGTATTTTGTTAGAGAAAGATCTGATCTTTGGTATAGTTTTACATCAATCATATCAGTACATCTAGATGGGACAGTGAGATTCCAGGCTTCCTGTTTTTTCAGGGCTTATCACTCACCAGCTTTCCTTAAACTCTTGATGCATACATGCTTCTTTTTATCTTAATCTAAAGTACATAGGTGGAACAACTTTAATATCTCCACCCCAACATACTGCATCTTGATAAACATTAAGGAGCATACACACAATAGTAGTAAAGTTGAAGAAAAACAGGAAGCATCAGACTCTAGCAGTTCGCCCCGTTCACTTGCATGGAAAGCCATTATAAAATGTTGCATTGTTTAGGTGTCGGATAAAGATTTGACCCCTGTCATCCCACAGATTGCATACTGCTGATTAGCTTCGTTCTCAGAAATTTCAGTCTAAAATAATAGCCTGCCTATACAGCCTGAAGGAACCACAGCTGCTGACAGGCAGCTAAAACAAAGCTTCTCAGGGGAGAACACCTGGATTGGCTGGTGAGGTCTGCTGCCAGAACCATTCACAGAGGAAGACGTTTGGGCCAACTTCCACTAGGATGAAAGCATTCACCTGCGTTCATTGACCTTCTCTGCTCAACTGCCTTGACAGGATATGTGAGAGAAACTGAGCCTTTGTGACGATTAAATCGAAATTAGAAAACATACATTTAAGACCCTGGGTTTAGTCAGTTGTTCTATTGTCAAGCAGACCCGTGCAACAGCTCCATGGATTTCTCCATTAAGCTCACACTCATTAGCCCAGTTAGACCCGTGCATGTACTTTTTATAAAAATGCAAACTAAAAGATTAAGTTCTGCTACTAAATAAACAAGTTTTGTGTCAGATCTATGCACTTTTGCAAATCCCTCCTAAAGATAAGATGGGTATTTTACAGCTCAGTGCAAAGATTCTCTAAAAATAGGATAATTTAATCCACATGGAGCAGATTAAAATGCAGTGTTAACACTTAACTTAGCTTTTTATCCTTGGAATAAACAATACTTCCATTATAAATAAGGTTTATCCTTTGACTGCAGCAGACATCCCCAGTTTAGGGGATCTATCATTAAATGTGTGAGGCTCTCCATTATCATCTCCTCCCTCAGTCTATGAGGGCAACCAAATCACATATGACTGTCTCAGTTCTACGGTTTCATCTCTTCATTAAGAAAAAAGAAAGCAGTTATCTTCCGCAGCAGAGACTGTAAAAGCTCATTTCAATCTGAAAAACTCACACAAAAAGACAAGACGATTAGAAGAATTTTATTGATATAATTACTTTCGCGTTCAGACCTCGGCAGGAAACATTAGCGCAGAATTTGTTTTGATATGCATAAACAGGAATAAATAATAGGGATGTTTCCCCCCCAGGCCTGAAACTAGTGGCGGCATGGAGAGAATGAAGTTGGTCAGTCCATGACTGCTGGCTGGCGAGACGGTGTGCTTGAACTGTATGAAGAAATCCGTTGGGCTGCGTGATACTAGTGCATCACTCTGGGACCTGGAAGATGGAAGTCCAGCTTGGATAACACAGGTTGAGTAAACCTGTCCATGATGAGCAAGCATGAACCGACAGTGGAGAGGAAAACCTCCCCTTTGGGAAGAAACCTTTGGCAGAACCAGGCTCAACATGGCGGCCTTCTGCCGGACCGGTTGAGATGAGGCAGGGAACGCAGTAAGACTCCAGGAGGAATGACACTCTAATGAAGCTTAAGCTACAATGGTGGAGAAGACGATGGAGGTGGGTTGAATCCGGGTCATCTGAATAGAAATCTGACGAAGCGCAACCGCTGCCTGCACTTTAGGCGCCGTCTATGAGATGTCCCTTTGAAGATGAACTATAAATGCTGATTGGCTCATGACAGGCGATTAGTAATCGTTTCTTCAGTTGAACTTTGCCTAGGCTCCATTTAAACTGATCAGGTTGTAGTAACCTACTGCAATGTAATGCAAGTAACATAAAGCTGTTACCACTATGAGCAGTAATTAGTAACAGAGCTGGGGGATTGATCCATAAAAGGGATTCATCTAATTTTCTTTTTAATGTAGATTTAGTTTGCAGAAAATATTTTTTTAGTATTATTGTTATAGTGATTTATTTTTTTTTTTATTATGTATTTATTTTTTCTCAGCTAATGGACTTCTTGGGCTTCCGTAGTGATATGGGTTCATCACTTGTTGTTCTAAAACATTTACTTATAACAGATAAAATAGCTGACTGGGTGAAACCACAAGCTGCAAACATTTAGTTTGCTTTATTTTCATTGTTTGTTGTGAAACATTTATTTGACGGCATAATTGTAAGAGGATGATTAAAATAAAAAGCTAAAAGCTGTCCTTGAAAGTAATGTATTAAATTTTTCATTTTTAATTAAACTTAAATTAAGGGAGAGAAAGAAAACGATTAGTAGGATTTGTTAGGAAAAAAATTGGAGTTTATAAATTAGTTGGTAAGCCATGTAGCCCACTTCTATTAGCTTACTTAATTGGAAAAAAAAAACTAATCCAGCTACTAACCTTTTTTTAATGTAACTCAGTTACTCCAAACACTGAGTCAAACAAAATACACAGAGGCGGCATCATTGTCATAAATAACCTTAAATTAACAAATAAAATGAGATTAATCTAGTAGATCTGATTAGCACAATTTAGCTTTTCTTTGTGGTTGATCGTATTTGTGGTTTTCTATATAAAGTAAAGTACTCAGAGGTAGCAAAATAACAGCTGATATGTATAGATGAGTTTTCTGAACACCAAACACGTACGACACGTCCTACAGCAACATGAAAACAGGAAGTCTCTGATTCCTTTAAGAGAAACTGTGGAGATAAGAACAAAGGCAACAAAAGCCTGTGTGGGAGTGAAACTGCTGAGGCCTGACCTGCAGGTTGACACAGACCACTGCTTTCCAAATTCTCTTTAGGAAATAAAAATCAGAGAGTTTAAATAGAGACTCTTTTTAGAGTAGCTGCTGTGATGCCAGAGACTTCATGTTATATGAAAGTATTTCTCAGTTGAGGACAGAAACATGCAAAACGTATAGCATGTTAAATCCAGCTATGCACTAAAAATCTAATATTGCACTAAATGCTGAAATACAGACCAGCTTTTAGTTAAAGTTTGCAGCAACAGCAGGTTTGATTGAAAAATGATTCTAATGTATCACCAATCAAAAGAGTCAAAAAGGAAAATAGCTTGCAATTTAATATCAATGATTTTTAGGATTATAGGGGGGAAAAATGACACCAGAAAATAATTTGATAAATTCGATTCGATATTCGAATGCTTGGGCTGCTAATCAGAGATGATAACCTTAATGACCCCCCCTCCTGTCCTACCCGTTTCAATCTGTGGCTCCAGTTCTGATAGAGGCGTGCCAGATCTCCCGACATCTGCCTGAGAGCTTGTCTCCGCTGAGCCTCAGTCTCTGCATGGATCAAATCTCCAAGTCCTTCCACCTTCAAGCAGATTTACATGGATGTTTTCATTATAATCATTTGCATCCATAAGACTGTGATATGATTTTCAGTTTGTCCAACATTCTGTGGTCTTTAGTCTCATTGAATCAACTTTGATATTAATTTCCTCACGTTTTTAGGTCCAACAAACAGATATGTTTAAATTTTCTATGTAAGGAAGTCATTTAAATTTGATTTGCAGGACCTTTCAGTCAACTTTTCCATCTTCAAACTTTGAAACACATTTTCAGGTAAAGTAAAACCATAGTTAAATTCCCATGTTTTAGCTAATCATAAAAGGTCAGGATTGTTCTTTTCATTCTTTAATGACTAGACAATTTTTAGGATGTTTTGCCCCAACTGCAAAAACTGATCTAAAAACAAATAGAAATTTCCTAAAATAATTGCATTTGCCCTTAATTTCAGCAGGTAAATCAGACGATCTGCCAATGGAATCAGTATTTTTGTCCTCATATCAAATAATCATCTAATGCACTTGAAATAAGATAACAGTTCTTTTATCTTATTTTAGAATTAAATTACAAAATGTATTTGGTAAATTACTATACTTACCTGCTCAAATAAAAGGAAAATACACTTATTTGGCGTGACTTGCAATTTGGTTTTTTGCAGTGCAGCCAGCACTATGATTGATTTAATTACCTTTCAGTGTTGATGCGCTGCAAAAATTGTCTATCTAACAAAGTCTTACAATCTTATACAAAACCAAAAAGTTTTTTTGATCTTGCTTTGAGATTGATATGCCAAAGAATATACATCTTGATTTAGAGAAGTCTTACCAAGTGGAATTGTCTTACTGTACCAGCAGATTATTGCACATATTTTTCTTCTGAGAAAACGTGTGCCTTCAGCAGTTTGTTTTCCAAACAAAGCATTAAGAAAATAAAGCTCTACATTTCAGTACTTAAAAAAAGAATCTACAGAAGCCTGAAAGCTGCATTTAAGTATGACTACCGTGTGTCTTTCTTAACCCCTTAAATAATGGTATGAGACAAAACATGAGAAAGGGGCATTTTTTATGATCAACTCGCAGGTAAACATTATGTCTGAGAATGCTTTCCTCTGACTTGCCTCGGTTAAATCCAGCTTCCCTGCATGGAAAGCCCTCCGCGTGAACTCACCGGCTTCTGCAGGCCTCATGCCAGGCACGCTTCCTGCAAAACACACACATGCAAACAAAAACTTTAAGAAACAGCACGGCGTATGCCCGCGTCATGCACCCAAAACAAACACATAACCTCAGCAGGATCAAATAAAGGGTCAGGGCATCACAACAGGCAGATATGCAGGTTAACAAAGGTCATGTGTTCATTGTTCTTCAAATCTCCCTAGGAGACCAAGGGGAATACAACATTTTTAGGGAAACAGGACTTATTATCTAAAATAAATAGAGGGCACAGTTAGAGTATTAGAATATTATTTTAGAAAAAAAAATTCAAATCCTTCCACAACCCAAAAACCATTGGTTCAATTGGTTTCTCTAAAAGGCTCTTAGGAATAATTGTGTGCATGATTGGTTAGGAAGTATCACAGCTCCTATTCTACTGTAGTTGTCCCCCAAACTAGTATAAGGTCATTATAAACAATAGATGGATCGGTATCTATCAAAGCACAGTTTATATCCACAGTTTATAATTGTTCCTGAAATTAAAAAAACAAAAACAAATGTTAACAGCTCTGTGCTTTCTCTGATAAAATACCGCCCTCTATGGAGTCCACAGTGAAATTGCAAAGAAGCTTTCTTGGTCAATCACAATAGGACTGGTCATGCTTGCCAGTACAAATATCTTCAGCACTTTAGAAATGGCGACACAAGTGTCAGCTTCCTTTCTTTAAGTCTCCAATATGACTCTAAAGGGTAGAGAGTTTATAATACCCCTAAAGGCTCAGGGCTTTGGAGAGAGAGAGGCTATAAATACCCAGAAATGGAGCCACTGACACCCTGAAACAGAATATTACTTCCCAGTTTATAGTCCTGGTTCAGGTTGAAATATATAAAGATGCAGAAATAATGGTGTTTACCTAGAGCTTGTAGGACAGCAGTAATGACTGCAGGACCGCCATGGATGTGGAACTCTGCGCTGTCTTCTCCCGTGAAGCTATGAGGAGCTGATAACAAAAAAAAACTATTTGTCATCATGAATATACTATTTTAAGATGAAATTGGGATCTCTGGTAAAGATTTGCGCAAAGTCTTCCAATAATTTTTTCTTTTAATACAATCAAATAGAGATGTGCAATAATTGGAGAATATGTAAATAAAAATCTATTGCTAAAACCATTAATAAAGTCATAAATGAATCCACTTTTTTATGTCTTTTCTTTCCACATCATTAGCTTTAGTATCTCATTTACTAAGTATATGGACCAGGTGTGGGCACCAAGTCTATTCAACTGTCCAGATATATTTCATTAAAGAATACAATATATACGAAATATTGCATTACCAAAATATACCAATTTGCACCATGTTTTTTCTCCCACACTGTTTACATTTCACCACTGCTTTACTTTATGGAATGGAAATCTTCATTTACTCTCTAAAAAACTTCTACAAAACGAATTTTTTTGTATAGTACAGCTATAGTAAAGTATAGTTTTGTATTCACTCTGTGTATTCAAAATGACAATAAAAGTTGTCCAAGTCGAAGTGCATCTAAGCTGTCCTTTGGGATGTTGGGGACTCCTTAAGCGAGATAGAGATTGGATCTTTTTGATGCAGACTGGTCTGGGTGTAAGTCTCTGCCTCAAGCAGATGAGCTTAATTATCTTGGTGTTTGGTTCATGAGTGATGGTAGGAAGATGGACACACAGACTGAGTCTTCATCTACAGTTAATTCTCATGCTGCTCTCGATTCTCTGATCCAATTACAAATCAGACCCTTAACTATGGTCATTGGATAGAGATTATCCGAAAAAGAATGAGATCCTGTTCCTCTTACCTACCATCATGAATGTAAATGTGTAGAATTTACTTCACTCTACAGGTAAATTAACTAGAATTGTGTTCTTCAATCCAATGAATCAATAACTGAGTTTTTCAGCTTAAAAGCTCTAGGTGTGTTTGGAGTAGAGCCAATGATAAATATAACGGAGAAGTACCCTAGGGCCACTGTTCAGCAGGGGATAAAATCTATTATGCTGTGGGTCATCTTCTCTTTTTATCCAAACCCTGACAGGGTTCACTACATCATAATTTTTTATGAAATAAAAACACTGTGGGATCCATCAGAAAACTGTTAATGATTCATCATCAGGTCTTTCAACGGGACGAAAACACATACAGTCATATCAACACAGGAATAGTTGACCATCAGCTTTGTGGTGTGACTAATTCAGTCCTCAGACCTAAATCTGGTTGAAAAAACTAAAGGTGAGGAGATGAAATCCTGGAAGAGGATCCAGAACTCTGAAGGATCAGTACTAAGGTAAGGAAAGATGCCTCTCACCTTATTATCAAAAGGGGATTGTTTTGACTCAGAGTCCTTAAAATAGAATTTTCTTTCGACTGGTTAAATGTACAGTTTTCTAGGGAAGCCTGTTTCCGCCCCATGAAAGTGAAAAGAAAAAATGGCAAATAGATTCAAAGTCATAATTTCGACCTTCAAAGTAATAATTATGAGACACAAAGTCATAATTTTGACTTTTAAAGTCGTAGTTATGAAATAAAAAAAGTCATAATTATGAGATAAAAAGTTATAATTTAGATATATTTGACTTTCTATCTTTGTATGTTTGGGAGCTTTATTCTCACCTGGGAACCAGAGGACCAGTCCACGATCCAGGATTTCTTTGGAGTGGGGGTCTGTGATGCTACGTAACATAGCAGTTCGTGGAGGAGGCAGGTGCTTCCTGAGCCCTACCATGGATCTTAATGCTGTAGTTGCAGCGGGACCACTGATACGGACCACAGCCACCCCATATCTTCCATGACCTGATGACAAAGCGAAGATGGTGTCAGCATCTGCAAGCCCAGCCTGCAGAACTCCGTCTCCAGAGGACAGATGACGACACTGATGGATCTTTCTGTGGGAGAAAAGGTTACCTGCGTTAATTACATTGAACCTTTGGCATTTCAGAGTACAGGATAGTAGACGTTAGCACATCAAGACATTTTACTCCCAACTTCGCCCTCGACTATGAATATGGATAATTTAAGGTGAGCAGCTACTTTCTCTTAGTTTTATTCTTTACACATTTACTTTTTTCTGCTTACAAAATACAATACAGAAAATAAATATTAGGTTCCTAGAAAAAAAATCATGCTGCATTACAGATGAAGTCCTTTGAAGGCTCTCACAAATTGTTGGCTGGACTTGCTGCATTTTGGTATTATGCATCTTAAATTAACAGCTTTATATGTAACCTTAAAGTAGATAGAATGCATTATTTAATAAAATTATTTTGTACATATTTTTCTAACTATAGGCTATACAAAACATTAAAGTGACATTGTTTTTCCTTTTTTGAAGGATTCAGATTTAACTATCTCCAAAGTGGTCTTAAAAGTGGTCCAATTTGAGCCCCACTGATCAAGCTTAAGGACTGACCTTGACACTTAGGATGAAATTGTGTTGCTGGACGAAGAAAGTAACATTTTGTAATCCAATAAAAAATAAAAGGGAATAAAAAGAGATTGTCCCCATGTATGGATAACTACAAGTGTATCTAAACTTTGATACATTTTTTTAAAGAGGAAAACTTTGTGGCAAAGTACATGATGCTGGTTGATGCTTGTATTGACCTTAAATAGAGAGATTTGTTAGTTTATGATACATTTAATAATTAGGGGGGGGAAGTATTAGATCTGCTAATCATAGGTTACAAAAGATTAAAGGTTTGATGTCTACGATTCCAATTTCTGCTTTTAGTTAAGATTTTCATAAGTAATTTCTAAGTAAATTTTTCAGATTGTATATTCAAGAAAGAAAGGTAGACATGTAGAGGACATAAGGACTGGATGGTCTAAAAAAGTTTCAGTGGATTAACAACATCAAAACAGGAAGTTTTTCTCAAATAGAAGGGGGGATAATATAATTGTTGGAAAGCTGTGATTGTGATTTGGGCTCCATCTAATCAAATAGTTTGTTACTTTATCTTCTCGAAGACCTAAACCCAATTTTTCTTTTAAATAAGAGCACATACTTTAGTAGTTCGTGCAATTAATGTAATTATGTTAAAAGTTGATGCATCAAGGACGAGTTTTATTTTGACCAGAATATTATCTGTTGTTGGGTTTGATATAAGATTCTTTTAGCGCAGGTATGAATGTGACCTCTTTAATGCTACTCAGTTAATATTAACTATTAGACAGGCACATTATTCGTCATAACTTAATAAAATAATAATACAAATTATTGTTAAAATAATTTAAATGTGGCATTATTAAAATTTGGCTATATATATATATATATATATTTTTTTTTTTTCTTCTTTTATTACAGGCCTTTACGAATTTAAAAAAAGCTGAATGACAAAAATATCCCCAATGTTTTTTTCAATGTTTTGTTTTTGCTCTTTGCAATTAAGTAGATTGTTTGGAGACATGAGCCTTGTTTAGATAACAAATATTATTATTACTAGTAATAACATCCTGTATTACACCTTTACATCGCTGGCATTTTTAAAGGAATAGGCTAAAGAGAATGAAACAAATCAAATCTTTGTGACAGTCTGCTAGTTAAGCAGATCAGATAAACACTATCCTTAAAGGGACACATACTGGATAGAAAAGGCAAAAGGGACCAAAATAAGCACTTCCAGGTTTTTGCACAGTGGCAACTGTAACTTCATGAAACACTTCATTTAACATGTCATTTAAAACGGCACGTTGTTTATGTGAATTTGGTCTGAACTGTAAATAATTATAAAACAGATAAAAACCTTGTCCTGAGCGCACGGGTCGCAGCTCTGTAAATCCCTCCACAAACAGCTGAAACTGGCAGCATTGTTGCAGGACAATACATTAAATGTTTAATTTATTAGCAGGTTATTTTACAAAGTTAGATCTATTCCATTCTCCTTTATTTTAACCTGCTAGCTGCTATTAAGGAACTCTGGCATAGTAGTCGATCACCTGGGACCTTCATTAAACAGGCAAACCCATGCTGTCCAAATGTGTTCTTCCGGTTTCTGTGTTATTGTCTGTATGATGTCTGTGATTGGTTAAACACTGTGCATTACGCAGACATGTGCTCTATTCCTATTCGCGTAAAAACCAGTCAATCAACAAAAAGTCCCGCCTTCTGTACTTTGCAAAATCAAGCCGGTAGAACCAAGTCGGTAATTTATGTTCCGCTCATTGGTTCTGCTCCAATCCAAGGCACCTTCTCGTGGTTTAAATAGAGCATTAAATCATCTATGTTTAAATTAAATTACTTCGTTAATTATTTAAGGTAATACTTTGACGGTATTATTTATGCATAATTTCTTTCTTTAGTTCTTTAAAAAAAATAATTTGCAGTCAACAATGTTGCATCGAAAGTAAAGTCCTACTAATTTCATGAAAATATAATAAAATCTTATGTAATTTTTAAATCATACAAGGAACAGGAAATTATGTCAGAAGTACATAATAAGTTTAAGTGTTATTTGATTAGACTTAGTGACAGTTTAACATTTATTATATAGCACTTCAGGCCAGGCACCATTAGCAATAGAAAGCATACAAAATGTACACATGGATAATTATACCATTCAGTTTTCCAGGAGTAGCTACATCTGAAGGCACTAAATGCTGTAATCCTTATAGCCACATGAGTGACTCAGTAGTCACCGAATATAGCTAATAGAATCATACCAGAGATTCCATATGCATGCATTAGTCCACTAGTATTTGTCAGGAGTGGATGGGGTTGTAGTTTGAGAAAAAATTAGGCTGGGATGTCATGGGATGAGGTGGAGCTAATACGGGGCAAAATACGCCTGCAATGGATGAATAAAGATATTCATTGATTGAACTGCTTACTTTCAACAGAAATACAATCACTTTACTTATCTTTCTGCAAAAATCTAACTCTGTTTGAAACTGATTAGCAAAGCAGAGGGAAAACACCACAACTAAGGAAACATATGCATGATCTAATTAGGTTTAGATGCAGCTTTCAAAAAAATAATAATAATTAAAACATTTCTATATCCTGTCAATCAGCACAAATTTCATTAGCATTGGAAAAGGGCTGTTATACCTTAGATTTTTGAATTAAACAAATTGTTAATCTCACTGAAATAATAAAACCATCACTAGCCTGGATGAAGGCAAATTAATGGGAGCAATATTTGTGGATTTAAGAAAAAGCAAATCCTTGAATTTTTTTAAATCATGTTCAAATATTTGACAGTGCCATAACCTGATTTAGATCATAACTGCAAAACAGAGAGCAATGTGTTAAAATACTCTTCATGCATCATCCAATAAAATTTTTAGAAGGGCGATACATCAAGGCTCATTAGTAGGCTCCTTATTCTTTAGCTCACAGCTATAGAGAGGGTAAACTGGCGTCTTTGCCACATGTGTTTGCCTAAAATCCTGAGTTGACCAGAAGAATATTTTTGAAGGAAATGTCTAATGTATTACATTTGCTCAAAAGTAAATGTATAATTTTAAATAATAAGAAAATGTCTACATCTTCCTCAGTAAGGAAACAGGTTGATGTAAACATCATAGCAATGTTTGATGGCAGAGAGACAGAAGAGGTCAAATAATACAACTTTTTTTAGGTGTTACATTAAATCTAAAACTTAAGTTTGAAAGACACACAAAAAAATCTACTTTCATCAAATTCAAAAACACTTATGGACAGTGGCACGGGAAGGGGGGTGCTGCGGGGGCTGCAGCCTCCCTCGTCATAGCATCAGCCCCCCACCATGGGGGGCTGTGGAGTAACATAATATTGTACTTAAAAACATTAAATTATTTATGTATTTATTTTTTAAAAGACTGTTTGATATGGGATTAAAATGATGGGCTGTGTATAAGATATAAACTAATGATTCATTATTTTAATATTTCATAAAAAACTAGGCTACTCCCCCGGAAGCTTCCGCCACCTCACATTCGTTTAGGCATGGCTAGCAATAGGCAGCAGGAACGTTTTTCTGACTATTTCGAGGTGAGAAATGGTTTTAATTCCCCTATACGCTAGAATAAGGCTGCATATCACTAAATATTATGTCTGTATTAAGCTATTTAGTGATAAAATATGAAATATGAAAGTTTTTTTTTTTTTGTGTGTGTGTGTGTGTTTTTTGTTTCAGATATGAAATTATTCCCCATATCCATAGTCGAATGGACTTTCAAGACATTCAGTGCTCAGTTTAGGCTATATTTAGGCCATGTTTCATTCAAGTATTACTGTTCCTGTAGATTGCGAGCTGTTGTTTGTTTTGAATGATTAAAAGAGAAGAAATAAAGTTTAAAATGTTCATGCTTTGTTCCGATGCATTTTAAATGGCAGTTTTTGGCGACAAATGTAGGCCTACAATATTATGTTAAAAACGTCAGCCACAGCCCTCAACATAATGACGTCATGTGTTTTCCAACCCAGCCATCAGCCCCCCTCGCTTGAAACAGCTTCCAGCGCGCCTGCTTATGGAATATCTAGCAAAACCATCTAAATGCATTTAAACCGTTTTCATCTATTGAGCTTTGTAGATCTCTTAAAGTAGCCCAGTAATTTACACATACAGCAATATTTTCTAATCTATCCCAGTGTATAAATCATTTGAGCAAAGATTCCATTAAAAAACAATTAAAACCATAAAGATCACTATATAATCTGCCACTAAAAATAGCTAAAAAATAATATGAAACCTGTCCCCTGGCAATTGTCTAATTCTACTTCATTCATTTTTGTTGTTTTAATAAACATTTTACAGTTTTTCTTTACTGGTTGCAGTATTTTGAAATCAGTTTTATTTCCAGAAGTCTAACCAGCGACAGTGACCGCAAATTGACTTACATTTTTTTAGAGGCCCGTATATAAAGCAACTTCTTCTTTTATGAGGCAACATTAAATGTATTTCTCTCTTTAAGACAAATAAATACCAGTATGTGTTGGTGAAATTTAGTGAAATTGGGGGAGAGGACACAAATGTTGTGAGCATGTCTTAATATGTTTAAATCTTATTGAATGTGAAAGGTTTTGTATTCTATTTTTCGATTCTTCAATTGAGTCAAAAAAACGTAATTTAGCATAATCCTGTGTTTTTTTTGTGCTTATATGATCTTAAATATCCACATTGTTGTAATCATCAGGTCTTAGATACAGAACACTTGTGCATCCAGCAGAATGAAGTCACAGTGTGCAGACTTCGTGTTCACTGATGTGTGTCGGTGGCCCAATGCAGAGCCTTGCAGCTGTCAACCATCTGAGCTGGTGAGTAAGCAGAAATTCTGCTCGAATCAGAGGTGCCTCTGGGTTGTGAACCATAAGAAGAAGAGGGCCAGAGAGAGTGGCTGCAGAGAGAAACATCATTCAAGAGGTTTTGAGTGATGAAACTAAAGAACAGGTATAAAATATTAAGCCTTCGAAAACATTTTTAACCTGGAACCTCAATAATTTATCATCTATAGTGAGAGCACAAGGTGTAAACCTATCCACCTCACAGCTGCTAAATATAAACACTTTGTTATTTAGACCCTGGTTGTCATTACTGATGACACCATTTATCCCTGTAAAGAACATTTAAACATATCAGTTTGATGATGTACCCCTAAAAATAGACTTTAACAACTTACTCAATGTTTATACAAATCTCCTCATGAATCATTGCAATCTGAATCTATTTATATGTTTGTCCTCACAAAGGTTTAATGAGAGTAAAAATGGATAATTTATTCTGTAAAAGAAACTAAGGATTGCACACTGCAGTTCTTGGTTTAGCTGAAAGGTGACATTACTTGTACCTTTGCTTAAAACCAATAAAAATTTAATCAAGAGAGATATTTTCGCATTGATAAATAAGTCATATAATCCATTTAGTTTCCCGGGAAAGACAGAGGCCACCTGGCTCTGATGTAGGTGTCCCCGATCTACCTCAGGGGACTATTTTCTATATCTACATTAAAATGTAATATTTGCAGAGGTATCACTGTTTTGCTGATCAAAGTAGGTGTCTTATTTTTATATTTTTCAATCTTTTGGTTTTAGTTGATCAAGTGAGAAATACACAGCATATAAACATTGAAAATTAGTCTAAAGGTTCCAATAAAAGAATAAGTGACAGATATTTATATTATAAAGGAAGGAATGGATTTAGATACCACACTGAAGTTAAATTATAAGTTTTTTTGTTGTTGTTTTTTTTTTAGAAAAATCACAGAAATAACCATGGTTACTCAGGAGGATCAGCAAAAACTGAATGCTTAGGTGGGAGAATCCTATAATGAGACAACTAATTGCTTTCTTTTCAAAACTACCTTTTATAGAAAGATATGTGAATGACACTGTGAATGAACCTTAGGGGATTGCAGTGGCACGGGAAGGGGGGTGCTGCGGGGGCTGCAGCCTCCCTCGTCATAGCATCAGCCCCCCATGGTGGGGGGGCTGTGGAGTAACATACAGGTGCTGGTCATAAAATTAGAATATCATGAAAAAGTAGATTGATTTCAGTAATTCCATTTAAAAAGTGAAACTTGTATATTATATTCATACATTACATACAAACTCATATATTTCAGATGTTTATTTTGTTTAATTTTGATGATTACAAATGACAACAAATGAAAATCTCAAATTCATCATATCAGAAAATTAGAATATTGTGAAAAGGTTCAAAATTGATGGCCCCTGGTGCCACACTCTAATCAGCAAATTAACTCAAACCACCTGCAAAAGCCTTTAAATGGTCTTTCAGTCTAGTTCTATAGGCTACACAATCATGGGGAAGACTGCTGACTTGACAGTTGTCCAAAAGACGACCATCGACACCTTGCACAAGGAGGGCAAGACACAAAAGGTCATCGCTAAAGAGGCTGGCTGTTCACAGAGCTCAGTGTCCAAGCACATTAATAGAGAGGCGAAGGGAAGAAAAGATGTGGTCGAAAAAAGTGTACAAGCAAGAGAGATAACCGCACCCTGGAGAGGATTGTGAAACAAAACCCATTCAAAAATGTGGGGGAGATTCAC